TCGCAGCTCTCAGGTGCGGCAGACCGCCCCCCCCCCCCCAAGTGGGTCTGGAAGAGGGGTGTGTTTAAAATAGGACGATTCAGCTAAGCTATCTCCCACCCCTCGCCTTTCAGAAAGTAGCACGGCCCTCCTGGACCTGGCTGGCTTAGACACAGAAGTCCCTAGTCAGTCACATGACCGGCCGCCTCATGAACTGGGAGCCAGCCTCCTTGATGACGAGCTGATGTCGCTGGGTAAGAGGAGCTCAATCAGCGGATCCATCGCCGCTTCCCGTCTGCCTTGGCATGTCACAGAAATGCCTCGTTCCTTCTGTCCCAGGGCTGAACGACGTCACTCCTGCCTCCCAGCCCGGAGACGCCACTTCCTGGAACTGCTTTCAGGTGAGGTCACAGGGATGTTTCCGCGGTTACCCCCCCCCCCCCGCGTTCACCAGACCTCACCGCTGTTGCTCTCGCCAGTCTTCCGACAGCACGGATCCGGCCGCCCCAGCAGCGATGCTGAAGCCAGCGGTGACCACACCCTCGCAAGCTCCGCCTCCGTCTGGGAACAAGGCTTTGGAAGAGCTGGACATGCTGGGAAAAACTCTCCTGCAGCAGTCCCTGCCCCCAGAGAGCCAGCAGGTCAAATGGTAGGTAAATTACAGATAGTGTGTGATTGTGTGCTCTGGGCTGGACTGCCTTGTCCCCTGCCTTGTCCCCTGCCTTGTCCCCTGCCTTGTCCCCTGCACTTCCTAAGATTAGCTCCAGGCTCACTGTGACTTGACTAGATAGGCTAAAAAATGGATAAAGGGTGGGATGTAATTTCTGATAATGCTTCCTTTCAGGGACAAGCAGCCCCCTCAGTCCAAACCCACACTACGTGATCTCCAACACAAGTCCAACGCGAGCCCCAGCCCGAGTGCGGCCTTTTCCACCGAGCATCCTGGAACTCTCCTCAACTCCATACCCGGCCTGGGAGCGCTTCCGCAGGGAATGCCGTCTGCTTCCTCTCCCGCTCCTCCACAGGAGATTTCCCTGACCAATGTGATCGTGCCGCTGGAGTCCATTAAACCCAGTAAGACGGACAGCTCATATTCCTGCCTTGAATCGCTTCCAGCTTCTTTAAAGGCCCTCATGAGACCCACTTATTTCCACCAAACGCCGATTAATTAACGTCTGCCCTCTCTCCAACCCTCCCTGATCTCAGGCAACTTATTGCCCGTGACCGTGTTTGACCGTCACAGCCTGCGGGTCCTCTTCCACTTTGCACGCGACTCCCCCCCCGGCCGGCCCGACGTGCTGGTGGTAGTCATCTCTATGTTGTCGTCTGCCCCTGTTCCCGTCACCAACATCCGCTTCCAGGCAGCCGTCCCCAAGGTGAGGCTCTGTCCTAAACTATATCCGCCTTCATTCATATGCATCAAGCTCCTGCTTCTTGATGAATTCGCGTAACACGTTTCCTGCAGTAACTGTATTATGTGAAAGAATATGAATCCATTATATAAACCCTGTGTGAATTAAACGTATCCTAAACAAACTTAATTTTAGCTATAAATATGCTGTGGAAATGTCCATTTTTGCAGTGTAGTGCTTGATTCTTGTTTGTTCATTTCTCGTTCCCTTATATTGACAGAATAGCGAATCGGGTAATGTTTGCCCCTCCCTCTTGCCCTCCAGGTGATGAAGGTGAAGCTTCAGCCCCCTTCGGGGACTGAACTCCCTTCCTTCAACCCCATCCTGCCCCCTGCTGCCATAACTCAGGTGCTGCTGCTGGCCAACCCCAGCAAGGTACATCCTTCCGTGTTTTACCGTCTTTGCGTAGCAGGGGCACGTAGGTGTGAGATGCTATGAAGTGTTCAGGTAGCGTTTCTAAATCTGGGGACGTATGTATGGAGAGTGTTTTGTGACAATATTCAATAAATACTTGTGATTTAAATTATTTAAATTATAATTTACATTTGTAATTTAAATGGTTTAAACAAAATTTAAGTGATACCAGCAACCATTAATATTATCTGTCAGTCACCCATCAAACTCAGTGGGCGGGTTCTAAACAGAACCTGACATCTGATTGGTTACATTGCAGACTAAGTCACAACAGATCGATCTTGCCTAATGGATTGAATTCTCATTTATAACCACGTTTCTGTTCCATCCTGACGCTGTATTACATCCTAACTTCCCGAAACCTTAACTGGCATCTTCAAGTTAGGAAAATTTATTTAAGCTGTCCTAACTTTCACTGGCCACCACAGCGTTAGCTACAGCTAAACTTATTTAATCCATATGGCTGCTCTTTTATTGCTCTTATCTGTGGTTCCCGTTATCCATGGTTTCTTTGTCTTTTTTCATTACTCTATCATCTCTTGAAAATAAGGCTAATTTGAGTAGTACACAGAAAACGTCGGTGAGATGCGTCATGTGACGCCAGAAAGATTAGTATCAGTATAAATTTGCCTTATCCTTAGGTTTATTAAATCTGGTTAGCGTAGCGTACCACGTCCAGCTCTGGTAAATCATGGAAGCGATGAGTACTGAAGCGGCGGTGAAGGAAGGGACAGCTCAGTAACCACAACATCGCTTAAAAGAGGAGATATTGTTGATACACAACGTAAAAGAAACATCGGTCTTATGGCGGTACATTTTGCAGCTTCAAGTCAGACGTATTAATTAAACATAAGGATATGCCGAATTTATTTTTGGCCGTCAGAAAATGGCCCTCATTAATATTTTAGGCGCACTGCTAATCTGCTTACCAAATTGCGGGCGTAAGTAAACATCCATGTAGTACTGAAACGCCGGCATCCGGACACATGCTGACGCCAGTCATCTAAAGCCCTGGTGATTGTTGCACATGCACCACATAATCGTGATGTGATATCATGCAGAACTAATTTAAAGTCATTTGAATGACATATTGTTCCAAAATACCCTCCATACATATGCTGCTGCAGTACAGCTGTGGATGCAGGCATCAGAGTCTGTAGTGTGATGTGTTTGATTATAAATCAAATATTCACTTGGTTAGTCACTTGATGCATGAATGAGATACATTTCTGCTCTATTACACGCATTGTACTGTTGACATGTTTTATTAACTGAACATTACGTAAACAGTATCGTCAGCATTTGGGATTTGTTGTTTTCAAATTAACAATATAAAGACATGGGACAGTTTTATAACGTACTGTGCTTTTGCTCCATTTTTGCTTCAGGAGAAGGTCCGGCTGCGATTCAAACTCACCTTTGTCCTGGGTGAGGAATCCCATGATGAGACTGGGGATGTAGAACAGTTTCCTGCACCAGAAACCTGGGGAAGTCTTTAGGAGGACAGACTGACTTCCTGTCACATGACCCTCTGGGTGTCACATGCCCCAGCCCTTGCATTAGAGTTCCGTCACTGTCCTCAATGCGCTCTTTACATGTTCATTTTTGTCTTCATTCCAATCCAGCTCGACAATAATAAACAGCCTATTTCTTCTCCCTTACTGTATTCTAATGAACATAGATGTATTTTTTCCTGTGAATCAAACCTGAATGATTTGACTTCAAATTTGACTTCAAAAGCAGTATATTTAAAATTAAACCTGTCTGTGTGGCTGTGTATGCTGTACAATACTCTACTGTGCTGTAATATAGTATAGTACAAGGTATTGTACTGTAGTCTTTTTGTGACCAGGATAAGGGGCAGCTGGTTCAGCATAAGGGTGTGTCTTGTGTGAGATGATTTGCTACTTTTTTCCCCTCCAGTGATTCAGCTACAGCAATGGAATGTCTCCTGTTCTCTCCCAGCCGCCCCCCCAAATATTGTCTGTGCAATGCTGTCATCAAACTTCATTATTTTGAGTAACACTAGTTTTCCATTACTTAAGAACTCCTATGCCTGAAATGTATGGAAAACAGCGCTTACCTAAATTCTGTCTATTGCTGTGGTTTGACAGTGAACCACTCAGTACATAGACAAACTGTCAATACTGAAGTCTTATTTTATATGCCGTATGTGCCTATTCTGACAAATTCTGATTGATCTTGTATGTATATATGTGTTTCGTTTTTCTTTTGTCTGAGACGTAGGGTGTAGTCAGCTCTGGCTGCTGTTTTTGGTGTGTCTAAGGATTAGGGGGACTTTGCACTTGGTTACAAAAGGCAAGATGCATAAAATGCTGCTACATTTAGATCACAAGGTTGTTTAGTCCTAGTTTGTATAGCTTGTTACAGGACAGAACTGAACAGCAGAAGGTATATAAAAAAACAAAAAACACACTTCTGGTCCCTGCAAAACGACGGCATCACCTTCCCCAAGGCCTCACCACCCTCCCAGCATCAGATGAAATCGATCCTGTTGCCACAGGGACACCCTACTACGTGTGCAGCACATGCAAACCAGAGGCATCTGTTCACAAGGCCCTGCTGTGGTACCCCCCCCTCCCCCTCCGTGTTACAACTCTGTAAATACTGTCAGTATTGCAATTATGTATATATGCCAAAATACTATAATAACGCTACAGAACTGAGGGGCAACAGGAAAGGCAGTAAAAATGCATATTTAAGGGAAATAAAGCACTTCTTTTTTTTGAGGTTTAGCACAACGTTATGTCGTTATTCACTGTAAACGGTCACTCCACTACATAAAGGGCCTCCTGAGGGGGAGCAATACAGAGATGCCAGAGATGGGAACAGGAACAACCGCTGGAATACTAACACTAACTTCCAGAGGTTCTACAGAAACCAAGACGTGCAGAACTGCACAGGCAGTCCCCAGGTTATGAACGAGATCAGTTCCTTAAAATCTGTCAGAGTAATTTGTAGGCAAGTCAGAATAATACAGCAACGTGTGGTAACTGTACCTCAAGCTAGGGAACAATGAAAGGTGTGTAATGTTTTCATGAGTGTTACAAAGTAGCGCATGTTCGTTTCTACAAACCATTGTATATAAGGCTGTAAGTGCGAGCTGAACGCAAGTCAGACGTTCTTAACCCAGGGACTACTTGTACTGTAAATATAACCCGTGAATATCCAAAAGAATGTTTTTAAATCTTTATTAAAACCTGAAAAAATATAGAAAAGTACATCATTACAGGAGAATCAATGCCTATGGGGCAGCCAGGGGAAGAGTTTGCAAGCAACCAAATGCATTGCAGATTCCTGATGTTACCATCAAAACTACACATTGGAAACGGAAAAATGGCATGAAAAACTACACATAGGAGCAAGATGATCTGTGGATGCATGAAACATCAAGAAGTAAAGCAGCTCACATGCAGTACTACCAAAACGGACTGGGGGGGGGGGTTGATTTTTTTTTAGTGGGAAAACATTTGCAGCTGCATAAAGCTTCTTTATTCTGATTTTCTCTTTTCAAACCCTTACCACAAAAGAAAAAAGTTTGGCGTATCACAAACCTGTCCAGTTGGTAAGGAGTCCGATTCCAGAGGCTCCCTACTGGAACAGGCTATGTGGTGCTAAATGATTCATTGTGGTACCTACCTCTAACATGAAAAGACAAATTACAAATTTTAGAAATATGCACATTTGGGAAAATAATACAGGTCCGTCTCTCGGATCTCTGGCAACCAAATTATTCTACAGGAACATGCAAACACGCCAAATCCACAGAACCTATCCGTAAATACAACACAAGCACATTAACTGCCAGAATTCAATGTTTGAAATGGTTTTTATATTTATCAAAATAGTTTATAGCTAACCAAACTATGCTTTTCAAGAACTCAATCAAATTTAAACCCTAAAAAAATTACAAAAAGGATTACTTATTACCATAATAACAACGATGTGACGCTTTACGTTTTGGCTTAAGATGAGGGCCGTTACTTCCTAGGTGGGGGGGGAGGGGGAGGTGGAGGAGGGGCAAATGGGTAGGGGGCCTGAGGCATGAAGGGCATCATGGGAGGTTGGGGAGGCGCAAACTGCTGGGCCATCAGGGGCTGAGGTCCGGCCGGAGGCGGGGGGGGCGGGCCAGCTCTGCCGGCCAAATTCGCAAACTGCCCCTGCTGCTGCTGGCCTGACTGCTCCGGGACTCCACTGCCCCCCCCGCCAGCGGCCCCAGCTCCTGCCTGGGAGGAGGCCCTGCCGTTGTACTGACTAGTCCCGCTGTAGTTCTGGTACTGATCTTCCCCCAAGCCACTGAACGCCGAGGCGGAGTTCGTCCCCGTGCCATAGCTGGAGCCGCTTCTGCAGTCTCTGCTGCGGTCCCTGTACGACGAGGATGAGGAGGACCTGTCCCCGTCCCGGCCGCTCCCGCCCCCTCTGCCGTCCCGGCCATCACCGCCCCCGCGCCCGTCTTTGCTCCCGCCGACGGAGCGCATGCGCCGCTCGCATTCCTCCTGGTACATGAGGTTGGGGTTGTTGGCGTTGGAGGCTGAGGTGCGATATCGGGACCGGCCTCCTGAGGGGGAGCAATACAGAGATGCCGGTCAGCATTGGGTGGACCCTGCAACCCCCCCCCCCGTAATAATCAAAACTGTAATACTTTGAAACAGATCAATTCCAATGGAGCACCAGTAATGACGACAGCATTAAAGAAAGTTTAACTGCTGAAGGTTTTATGTATTGTTTCTACTTCCATAACAGCTCATGCAAACAGACTGAAACAACAGGACATGACATTACCTGCACACCCCCTAACACGCCCCTCTATCTCCTGAACACCTTACGGCTTCCTCTGCGTTTCTCCTGCCAGGACGCCGCCACGCCTGAGTACTCACCTCCTCCTCCTCCTCCGCGGCCCGAGTCCACCAGCTGCAGCAGCTTGGGGTTGATGGCCTGTCGGGCCTCCTCTAGGACCCGTACCAGGTCCCGGGCTTGGCGCAGGTTGCCCGGGGTGAAAAAGGTGTAGGCCGTGCCCTTGTTGGTGCTGCGTGCCGTGCGACCGATTCTGTGGACATAGTCCTCGGAGGAGTTGGGGTAGTCATAGTTGATGACAAACTTAACATCCTCCACGTCTTAGGAGTAGGAAAAGGGCAATTGGGAGGGGTGTAGTTCATTAGGGAAAAAGAAAGAAAAACAAGTCAAAACAGGGAAGAGACCAGTGAAAAACTGATGCCCAGTAACTAATTCAGCAGTAGTTACCTTTTCAACAATGAAGACCAGATCAACTCACCTGCACCACTGAACACTACCTGTGACTGAGTAGAGAGCTACAGATGCTCTCAACAAACTAAACTAAACCAAAATACAAGCGTGACCCAAGTTGCCCCAAAAAGAAAAAAAGATGCTGCATAAGAACGACGACATTAGACCTGGGTATGTAATTACATCAAACCAGAAAAAAAACTGGTGCATTTTTTAACTAAGACACGTCAAGAAAATACAGTAAAAAGCGAAGGCAATATTTAGAAGGTCTTTTCTTTCGTGTTAAGGATTTGGGGAAAGGCAGGAAGGTGTTGGTGTGGGTGGGGGGGGGCGATTCCGATGGTTGTCAGTAAGCTTTCATTCTGAGAGGAACCCAAAATTTTTTAAAAAGTCTGTTTCTCATTACGGAGAAGAAGGGGCTCGGACAACATTGCTGCGGTCGGGTTTGAATGTCTCCTTTTCACAATCCCGATTGGGGAAACCTGGAACACTGCAGGTATCCAGAAACAGGAGGCGCCGCTGTGAGGAGCAGACAGATGGCACAATAAGGAGCTTCACCTCCTCTACTCTACAGCAATTTACTTCAGATTTCGCAGTGCTTCCATGGACCTGTGTTAAATGCAGCAGATGGAAGGGGAGGGGGGGGTGAGGAGGTACTTACCCTGTTTAAGAAGAGTCTCTTACAGGGCTAACTCCCTCTGTCCCCCCCGATCAATCCTGGGTCATTTGGTAGGGCTGGGGAGAGAGGGGGACAAACTGACCCCCCTCCCACTCCCAAACGTACGCCCAGAACTCCAGACTGGAAGCAGATCACGCCCCCTCCAGTTCATCCTCAAGGATTGCAGGTCCTTGACCAACTGGAGTGAACCAAGTTCTTACTCTACCTCCAGGCCTCAGCTCACGCCAAGTTGGGGCCGCCTTTATGTTCTTGTTTCTCCCTCAAAAGCTCGCTGGTTTCACAGCCAATACAGTTATTACAAAAAAGAGAGAGACCCAGCTCTGGACCAAAGAGCAGAAACGCGGTACTCCGTACCCGGCAATACCTGAGCAAAGAGTGCGAGCAAAGCCACACACACACACACTTCCTGTGAGCATCAGAATTTTTTTTCCTACTTCCTGTTTAGCAAACGTCAGAAATGTGCCTTCACTGACCCAGCAGACTATACAGCATCAGAGGGCTGCAGCTCTAAAACCTTGTCCGATTGCACAAAGACACAGGACCCAAATGCCACCATCCACATGTAAGAAAAATAAATCTTCCAAACAACAGAATACATCTCTTGTGCCACACTTGTGCAAAATGTCAGCCTGAGAGGCCAAAGTGCTGATATATTTACTTTGGGGTAAGGAGTCATTTTGGGTGTGGCAACCTGATTTTGCAGGAACCCACACAAAGGAGACAAGCAAAGGGAGAGACCAAGATTAGCGTCTCCCCCGGTCCGTCCAGCGACAGGCAGCATGCCCGAGAGCCCAGTTTACCCTTCCTTCTTGAAAAGGTGAGATGGGGGGTAACCGCAGTAACAAGAAACAGACAACGGCTTCAACACTGAGTTGGGGGGGGAGCAGGGGTTCGTTGGAGCACGGTCTCAGAGATAAAAGTGACCTGGCTTAAATGTTCACCTAGCAACTGCAGATTTTACCTGCAGATTGGTTTGATCGCTGCACACAAAGAACCGTCACACACATACACAGATACAGACAAGTGTAAGGTAAGAGAGAGAGAGAGAAGAAGAGCGAGAGAGAGAGAAGATTGGGAAGAGAAACATTCAGACAAGAGGATGGAATTAGATAACAGCCACGATAATCAAACGGGCTGAAGAGCAGGGCAGGATCTGTCAGAAAAGCGAGACAAGAAGTGGTGAAAGAGTGCAGAGAAAGAGAGAGAGAGAGAGAGAGTGTGTGAGTGAGAGAAAGATAGCAATGAGAAAAAGATTCTTCCAGGCCAGGACTCCTGCCAGCCAGGACCAGACATGACGCCCACAGCGGGAGAGCCAGCACAGCCGCACGGGGGCTCGGGGCGTCGGTGAGCCTGGTGTCGGGGGCCACAGGGGCAGCAAAGAGGGGGGGCCTCCACACCGAAGATTCAAGCCTGCACACAACGCATCCCAGCCACATTCTAGTCCCTTTGTGCACACGCTACACAGCCTGTGTTTTTCACATCGCTCTTCGTCCCCCCTGCCTACCCTAAAACCACAGACGCTGCCATAGTCCTCCTCCAGCCACCATAGGCTTAAGTCTCAATGTCCACAACGCTCACTGCTTTCACATTTCACTGACTCACTGGAAACCAGCTACCACAAAAATCAGCAAACGCGGGCCCGAGCACAAACATGCTGCAGCCCAGAACCTGCGTCAGCTAATACCGCAAGCATAAAACATGACTCCAGACAGAACCGGAATTTCCCAAAGAGCAGATCATGTGACCAAGATTAAGCACACGAAGGCCCGCGATGGGTGCCGAAAGTCTGCCAATTAGGAAATTCCTCGAGACAACGTGACTGGGATTTAGCAGCACGGCACTGAAGCCATTTTCCTCGTGCCGCCGATGACCATAACAGCACGCTACAGCAAACATCTCGGCGATCTGGGAGGTCGCTCCGCCCGCAATGCCCCTCTTCTGGCCCCCCAGCTCACTCCCCGCCCCGTTCTGCCCCGCTCTCAAATTTGGAATCCCAGCCAGCCTCTTTCCTGGGGGGGGGAGGCGGCAGGGAAGGCGCATTATTGAGGGCTGTGTTTAAGTCTTTTTCGGAGAGATAGCTGTCTCAGGGACTGATAAGCCAGGCCCCTTCTCCGCAGTTTCTCTCCGACTCAGGCTTCGTTTAGTCATGCCTAGGTCCGGCTGCAGGCTTCCCAAGGGCCTGTGCGCTTCTAGTGTAGGAAGAGAGACTTGGAAAGAAAAAAAAAGAAAAAAAAAAAAATACACAAAACCAAAAAAATAATGAACACAAGGAGAAAAAATTGGTTAAAATAAGTGAACAAAAGTGGGGGCTGCATTATGTTATCTCCCCCCCACCCCACCCACAGTGTGTGTCCAACCTGAACCCATGATGTCACACAAGTTTAGCAGAGGTCTGTGTTTGATTGTGTTGCTGGCCATTTACCCTTTAGCCACGCTGAGTGTGCTTCACCTTTGAGGGTGCGACTGATCACACAGCAGCAGGAGCCCTGCAGGTTTTATTCTGTATGGAGCCATAGGAAGAGGCCTTAAGGTGATAAACTGCACCAGCTGCAGCGCAGGTTTGCAGGATTAGCAGGACACAGGCGTGAATGCTTTATGTCAAAGGACAGATATCTAAATACATGGTGTAACAAAATGGTTAAACCTCATGAAAACATGCCAGAAATGTACTTCTGGGATAAAATGAAATCCTAGTGTATAAGCAGGCAGCTGTGAGGGGGTGTCTGTGTGCGTGTTTGTGGGGGGGTGAGCTGACGAGACATACCCAGACCACGGGAGGCCACGTCGGTGGCAATGAGAATCGGGGCTTTGCCACTACGGAACTCTGGAACCAGCAGAAGCACCAAGTTAAAAGCCAGTTAGGAAAATGGGAACGCTGCTAAAACAGAGCGGCTTTCGAACTGCAGACACCCCGTGTTTGCCCTCTGTATGTCACCAAATCAGTCTAAACACATTAGAGAGAGTGCAGAGGGAAAAGGGCCCTACCTTGTCTACCAAGCATCACTGACAATTTCCTCCCAAAAAAAAAAAACACGTTTTGTGGTCTGTCGGCATAATTTCCTGAGTAATCTCAAGGCAATGCTTTTGTGCAAACCTCTGGCAGAACACTTTGGTGTAACCACGGTCTTCCATTACTTTTCCCAAAAGATGCCAAAAGCCACATGCTTTATTCACATATAATAAAGCTTTCTAAAGTAACTCCATACTAGTCAAAACATTTGTCATGTGACCAACGAGCGGCTGGATGACGCCAGGTGTAGGTCTGTGACATCTGTGGCATTTTCTTCATCTACATGCACCTGTCAGGACTTGATAACAGATTAATCGTCTTACCTGATAGCACCCAGTCTCTCTCAGGCTGGCTCTTATCGCCATGGATACACATGGCAGGCCACCTAGAAGGCACAGCACAATTACAGGCTCAGGGGACACCCAGAAACCTGCAGGACTTGTTTCTAGACGGGCAAGCAGCCATTTTCCCGGAGGATGACTGCAGGTGAGCCGCTCGGTCTGGACGGCGGCTCAGTTAATTTACACACAGATACACAAACCCATGCATGTGAAAGTTTACCTAAACCGACAAGCAGGGTGAGAGTCAACTGAGAATAAATTTCATAGTAATTGGGAAGCACAAAGAAATTGCTGTCCCCACAGTAACATCACAAAGATCATCCCCTTTTGGACCCAACTAAGGGTAAACACACATAATGAGGGGGCGAGCTAAATGCGATATGACAACACTGATCCAACAACAAAAACACCAGCTGCGCCAAACATAACCTGACTATAGTAATGAGAAAATGTGCTGTTTGCCACCATTAATGAATATCTTTAATACGCATATATTCAGATCTCTCGTCTTCATTTAACCATAAATACAATATTACTGTCAATACATATAAACGCAGCACATGTGAAGACCCAAGAGTTTAGCATCCAGACTCCGCCTCACCCGTCTCGCCTCATTCGGCGCGTGAGCTCATCGCAACGCTTCTTAGTCTCCACGAAGATGATGGTCTTGTTCTCCTTCTCGGCCATGATCTCCTCCATCAGCTGGATTAGCCTGAAAGCCAGAGAAGCGGAAAGGGAGAAACGAAGATGGCAGGGTTACGTTTACACATTTGGACCACGACTCCAAGAGACCTGCCCCTTCCCGCCACCAACGGACAACCCTCACTTGTGGTCCTTCTCACTCTCCATGCACACATCCACGATCTGGAGGATGTTGTGGTTGGCGCTGAGCTCCAAGGCGCCCACGTTGATCTGCACGTAGTCCCGCAGGAAGTCCTCCGCGAGCTGACGCACCTCCTTTGGCCAGGTGGCGCTCCACATCAGGGTCTGCCGATCCGGCTGGGGCGGACGGAGCGAGGGGCATCAGACACCGCTAGCACAGTTAGCTTCCTACCACAGCGGCCGGCCGTCTCTCTTACCCGGATCTGGTCGACAATCTTGCGGATCTGCGGCTCGAAGCCCATGTCCAGCATGCGGTCGGCCTCATCCAGCACCAGGTAGGTGCACCGTCGCAAATTGGTCTTTCCCGCTTCCAGGAAATCAATGAGACGCCCCGGGGTAGCGATGCAGATTTCCACTCCTGTACGAGACAAGGGTGTGAGAAACCTGCCTTGGACACACCTGATGTCTGAAGGCACCTACAGTTTATCCGAGCAGGAAGGCAACCCTGACAGGTGGGCATACGGCAAAAATCACACCCAACACCCAAGTGGTGGGTGGAGTCAAGCCTTAAGTGGGAATGTTCCCAAAAATATCCAAAATACATTGTTTACAGAATTGCTAACGCAAAAAGGTGATATACATCTATAAGTAAAACTTACATTTTACCATTAAATTTAATATGTGCTTTTTCATACTTATTACTAGTACATTTCTGGCTTATATTTTTTGTAAGGTGTCTTGAATGACAAAAGGTAAATCACAAAAAATCTGACTTGCATAAGGGTTTGCTGTGCAGATTACTCAGATCAGTCGATCTATATATATCTATATCTATCGATGTATAGGGTTTTTTCACAAATACACTAGCTGAACCTTTTAAAGTCATTCGGTTACATTAAAAAAATCTGCCCTGACTTTTATTTAGATGTTATTAAAACATGCATCTCTTTGTTTAAAGTCGGATAAAGGATGGGATCGAGGTTGGGTCAAGTCCAGGATAGAATCGCGTAACACCGGGCATTTGGAAAAGTTAATGGATCTGGATGGATCTGTTGGGATAATTCAAATCTGACATGCGCAATGCAGATTTTTGAGTCGCGTTCATTTTTGGCATTTCCCTTCCTCAGGGTAAAGGGAAGAACGGGGGTGACCTGAGCAAACAAACTGTAACGAAGGAAACGGTATCTTTTTAGTGGGGGGTGGAAAAGACCCCAGGAGATGGGAAAGACAACCTTCACATGGGTTGGGATCTTAACCAAGGAAAACAAGAATCAGGGCAGAGAAAACTGATCAGAATTAATTTATTTCAGACTGCTTAGATGGAAACGCCCAGTCTGTGATGCACTTATAACCAGATCTAAAGTGAGCCACAACTGTCTCTTAAGTTTAAGTTTTGTCTCTCATTAAGTAGAAAACAGGATAATCTTTTAAGGGATTTTTTCCCCCCTTAGAGAAGCATTTCCCAAATTGGTTCCTGGGGACCTTCAGACAGTGCACGTTTTTGCTCCTTCCCAGCTCCGGGCAGGGAGCCTAAATGTGGACTGTCTGGCAGGGAGCATGGAGGGAGCAAAAACATGGACTGGCTGTGGGGCGGCAAGGATCAGATTGGGAAACCCTTTTGCTGACAATTGAATGCATCAGCTTACTTTATCAGTATAACACTAAGTATGTCCCCCGGGTCCCTTCATCTGTCTTATAATCAGCCCACATAATCATAAGACGGCGACGCACCTCGTTCCAGGTCTCGTATCTGCGGCCCTTTGGGAGCGCCTCCGTAGACGCAGGTACTCTTGATGCGGGACGACTTTCCATAATCAAAGGCCACCTGCTGCACCTGCTGGGCCAACTCTCGGGTCGGAGCCAGAACCAGGCACTGGAAAAAAGGGGGGATGAGACTGGGAATACTGGAAACATAGAGGAGATGATAGTCCAGTAATAAATACTGGGAACAGATCACTTGGTGCTATAAAACACACAAAATGCCTACATGCATTACTACATACGTATGTATATACTGCTACACATGTACACACTACTTATGCCGTGTACTTACAATGGGCCCATCTCCACGCTCCAGGTAGGGCTGGTGGTTGATGTGTACAATTGCAGGCAGAAGGTACTGCAGCACAGAGCGGTAGAGAGGGTTAAAGGTCTAGCATGAGGGCACATCAACCTACTAGCAGTACTTAGTAGGGGGGGCTAAGGGGAGTAACAAAACCCATACAGTTAGAGTATGTGTGATTTAAGCCAGTATTTCTCAACCTGGTTCATGGGGACCTAAGGTTGGTTCACATTTTTGCTTCCGTTCAGCTGCCTGCCAGACAGTCCACATTTTTGCGGGGAAGGAGCAAAAACAGACTGCCTGCAGGTCCCCGAGGAGCGGTTTGAGAAACACTGATCTAAGTAGCCTACTTAAGCCTCATACCTACCCATCCAAAGCTATTCGGACACTAGCCAAGATTTAGCTTTGAAATAATCTCCTATATCTGTGTTATCCAAAGGACCTCACTTCTGTCTACACTGCAAGAGAAATTATCGCAGGGCTTAATGGCTGCCTTTCCATTCCGCTAGGGTGTCGTGCGTGTGCTTCCACGTGCCGAGCGGCCCTCACCGCCAGCGTCTTGCCAGAGCCGGTCTGAGCGATGCCCACCATGTCCCTGCCGCTAAGGGCCAGGGGGAAGCCCTGAGCCTGGATGGCTGTGGGTTCCTTGAAGTTCTGCTGTATCAGCACATCCATCACATACTCTGAAGAACAAGAAAACCATAAGCAGCTTCATTTGGCTGAATAAATACCAAGCTGTTTAAATATATCACTAATTCATACAAATTAACGTTAACTAAATTGGTTAATTAGATGAGATTAAAGTACCTGCAATGTTAATACAATGCTGATACAAAAAGGTAATAAATAATTAGTTAAAATCTGTATCGCACTGTCACAAAACTTTTCCACAAGAAGAAACATTTAAGCAATATCAAAATACGTTTGGGGAAAAAAGTAAGAGAAAGTGTTACAGAAATATATGGAGAAAAAAAACCATGCGACGCAGGCATGGTAAGAATGCATGCCAAAAAGGTTATCAGTCAGCAGCCTTTACTCACGTGGGAAGCTTGCCTGGTGGAAGGCAGTGACCGGCTTGGGGCAGCCCGTCCCCCGGATGGTGATCTCCTTCTTCCGGCGAAATTCTTCTATATCATACTAAGGCATAAGATGCAACACATGGCACAGACGGTGACGGGCATGAACAGCTGGGACCTAAGTATACAGTAAATGGAGGCAACACCTGTGGCTGTTCTGCAAGTACCTGTGTCATGCGCTGCACCTCAGCATGCTCCTGGTAGAAGTTCTTCTCAAACTTGGGCAGCTCGTCCAGGTCCCACTTTTTCTTGCGGAGACGTTCCCCAGGGTTACCAAACTTCCGTGGAGGAGAGTAGGCACTCCGACTCGACCCAAACCGTGTCCTTGAAGGTTAAACAGAGTAGGGAATTTCGTAACGGTATTTAAACCAGCGTTTCCTAATCCAGGACCCAGGAACTTAATGCCCCATTAATTCATTGCTTCCCAGGAACACTTTTAATCAATTAGTCTTAATATGTTGCAATAATTGAAATCACACATGCTTAATGCAGATTTTGAGTCTTGTTAATTTTAACACGTATCACAGAATGCTTGCAACTAGAAATTAGTCAATCCAAACATCTTCACCCCAAGTCTGTCACGGTCGAGGTCTGGGAATTAACGTCAATAATCGATTGGTGGTTATGGAGAGAGAATTGTTTGAGAGATAATGTTTGAACCAAAGGTGTTTCTCAAACGGACCTTTGGCTTTGCCAGTTTGTGCTATCCAATCAATTCACAGATCGTTTAACTGGTAAACAAAAACAACACATCCAAGATTAAACACTACTTTTTTAAGTTTTCAAACATAGTCTATTAAAAGTACTTTTTAACGATGCCGTCTGGGACTGGAAACATTGTTTCCTTAGTGACTAGTTAGTATTTTCAGGAAAAAAATTTTCCCTTTAATGGGACATGCAATAAAACTGAATCCATGCACAGAAATTTTATCCATGTACATCCATGTACATACAGTAAATCGAATAGTTAAAACATGACGTTAACAAGAATATCATTATAACTGGCAACATTTTTCGCTTACAATTAATTTTGCACGATTAATTGAAAAGTTTAAACCGAATAATGAAGTTGAGTTGTTTTGCTCTTGCAGTTGCTTGCCCGCTGAGGCTTGGCGATATCGAAGGTTAGCCAGCTAGCCATCTCAAACTGGCAAGGTCGGCGAAATTAGCCACGAATTCGCGCTCCGTCTCACTAAATCTTACTTTTTGTAAGTAGCAGAAGCACTTACCCCCTATCACGGCCACGGTCCCTGTCTCTGTCCCCATAAGAAGAACTTCCGCGCATTTTCCCCAAACGAGGCAGCTAGCTTAGTTAGCTCTCTCTAATTTTTAAATGGCTCCGAGCTTTGCAGCTTATAGAATGTTTGGTCCTTCAAACGTTTGTCTCTGAAACTAAAGAACAAACAAAAAAAGAGTAACCCCTAATTTAAATAAAGTTTACTTTAATGCTGTTTCAAGTGGATATACTTTATACTTCGAACTACTTTTGCAAAACCTCTCTTCCAAACAACTGTGCGCGATAAGATGGAGGTTTCGTCGACGCAAAAAAAAAAAAAAACCTTCAGCCGTAACTCTCCCAGAGAACCGTGGGAAGAAGGTGCTAAAATGGCGTAGATCATTTTCAGGAATCTGCGTACTGCCGGTTAGACTGTGACGTAAATTACGCCTGCAGTGTTTGTCTATGTTGTGCAGCTTTTCTTTGTTATCGGTAGTAAAATACACGACAGAGATCAATGTACTTAGTTCAGATAATGTTCACGTCACTGTATCCTGAAATCAACATTTATTCGTAAATAAAAGTATGAATAGTAATATTGACTGTTATATTATATTGTATTATAGTTTATATTATAATTTTACGCGAGTGTTATGATGACTCACTGCACATCTCCAGCACTGGCAGTTCAAATCCTGCCTAAAGTCTTTGCGTATGTGCACATGTGTGTATATGCATGTGTGTGTCTGGTCCAGACTTACCTTACATTGTGGGGACACAATATGATGAATACCCATTTTTTTCTGTTTCCTGGTCCCCATAAAGGAACACTCAGTTTTCAAAAAAATCTGTGACTGCAATAAGGTTAAGGTTGTCAAATGAGCGGTCCCACAAAGATATGATTACAGGTCTGTGTGTATGTGCATGTACAGTAGCTTGCTTATTTTTCCTGTCATCTGGCTTTCCTTTAGGAATTGTAATGACCTCAAGCAGTCAAAAAACATGCAGTTAATTTAACTGGCAAGTTACCAGTAGCTTGCTCATATTCCCTGTGATGGATTGACATCCCATCCAGGTTGTACCCCTACCTTGCAACATACGCTGTCTAGGACAGACTCCCATCCAAAATCAGCAGTTGGGAAAGGATGGACAATAATTATTGATATACATATACAATGTGAAGCATGATAATGATATTTAATACTAAAAATTCTAAGAAAAACATACTTTAGGCCTTCCACAACGTTCCCTCATTAGTTGTTTCTACTTTCTTTGCCGTTTCTTCTCCTTAGTGTTTTTGAGGCAGTTTATGGCCAGAGTGAATTTATTCGATGGGCTACACATTTCCTGAGCTTGTACAGTTGTGAGAACAGTATGATGTATTGCCACACATTCTTGTTAAGAGCCTTGGATCAGCGTTGTTGTGAAAGGCACTACATGAAAATACATTTAATTGAGAACAGGAGATCTTCTGTATCCATTTCATGGGGGAGTCTAGGGGAGAAAAACAGGAACTTTGGATTATGTAGATTTGTGGGGCAGAGTGGGCCAAGACAAACTGGGCCAGTGCTGCATGCTGGGTAAGCTCATGTAGGAAAGAAAAACAAGAATCATCTTAAAAACAGGATAGCAGAGGATGTATATGTCACAGCATCTAAGATGTTACCCAGCAGACTCCACCAAACTCCACGTTGGCCTGTAGTCAGCCATCCGAGACTCAGCACACATCAGGGGATACAGGCACCAGTGATTCAACCAATTTGTTCAATGTCAGGCCATTATCGACTTCATCTGCAAACCTCAAGTGATAAGTAAACAAGAAAACTCTAAAATATATATATATGTAATTATTAAAATATAATTATTATATTTTTGTAATTTAACACAGTACGGTCTTTTTAAGTTGTGCTTCCTCGACTGTTCTATTAACTTCAATTTGGTCACCGAAAGTGGAACAGCGTCCTCTACTGGCAAACCTCTGAAAGCTACCTCGGTGCGGAGCAACAAGCACAGATTAATTAGCACGGCATGTCGTAATCCATGATGTTACGCGAGTGCAGCCCTTCTGTTTCCTACTGATAATCAAAGTGGTGCCCATTCAGACGTTTTCCAACTGGTAACCTTGTATCCTATCAAGAACAGGGTACAAATCAGGGGAACAGGGTAGGCACACACATACACATAATTCAGAGCTACCAATTCACTTAGCCACGTGTTTTCGGATTAACACGATGGCGTATGTATGGTGGAGCAGCAAGAATGATGCTACTTTTCCCCCACTTTGTAGGTTCTATGTGATGTTTTCTGCAGCACCTTCCATGAGATCAGGAATTTTAATCTCTCCAGGCGCTGGATGCATGAAGGGGCACTTCCTCCCTTCTGCTCAACAAGATCTGCAATTCCTTGACACAGCAAATCGACCCATTATTTCCACGATTATGCTTTGGCAAACACAGGTAGGTTGGCCTCAGCACACCTGTACAACTCTGCTTGTCACCGCCGTGAGATTGTGGTTCTGTGTAATAGGTGATCTGAACAATCTACATATCTCCTGCAAAGCTGAATAACATTCTAGACTGTGGCACAAGGAAGTTTTGTGATGTAAGGAAAAATAGCACAAACATCTTACTTTTCAGGGATGATTAATCAAGTACTTTCACATCACAGTGGGAAGTCACTATCCTGTCCTGTCATGGGCTCACCAGCACCTGGCCAATCATATGCAAGTTCACTCGCAAACACTCCACACAGTACTTAGTTGTGGGGGGGGTGGGTGTATAGACTTGACCAATCAGAGATAACCTATGGGAGAACATCCCAACACAAGAATAAGTATCAAACCCTAAATGCTACACAAATTGCTACTCATTGTTGCACTCCTTTATTATAATAGCTTGTGCCGTTATCAGTACGAGGCAGAGCTACAGGTACATCGGCTTCTACCTGCAGCCGCTGGTCTATCGCACTCACAGTATGGTGAGAGATTTGTATGTAGGCCACTGGGTTAAAACACACACGGCTGTTTTTGTGGACTTTGCCTTTTTCCTCATCTCCTCTAGTCATGCTCCATATTATCAGGGTACATCATTATCTTTAGTTTTTCCCCCCCAGTAAAAATGCCCATTGCGATGTATGTGTTATACATGTTTATGCTGCAGTAAAGAGAATTTCCCTCCAATGAACCAATAAAGAGCCCATTCTCTCTCATATTTTAATCTGTTCAAATATAATAATCATCAATATTTTATTGCTCTTTTACGCCTCCCTCAACTTGCTCTTTTGTAGACCACCCAGGGAGCTGGAGATTAAGGGTCTTGCTCAAGGACCTGCAGACATGCATACAGGCTTAGTCCATTGAGCCACACGCCGCCCCTAAATGCAGTGTGGTCTCAAGTGTGCTCAGTGTGCATCAATCTGAATGGCCTACGTTACGCCCGTCCAGAATGCTTCCTGGTTTAAGCTTCTCATCACGCACTTTAGCTGCAATGGGAGACATTTTGCGGTACAAACTTTCACATGTCAGTCTCCAACTCGCACAGCAGATTTCAAATTGGTCATCAGTGTTTTGTGTGGAGCAACAAAGTAATTGACATGACAATCATCACAGTCCGCTGGATGTTGTTCCTTGCTATATTGAACAAAAAACATGCAATGCCTGAACCACAAAAGCAAGTTTGCAGGGTTTACAAACAGCTTTAATAAGCTTTACTGCTAGCAATATGTCTCACACAGATTATCTAATTATGTCATCCAGCCTTAAATGCACAACCAAAAAAGTGCACTATTCACCTGCAAGACCCACTGAGGTCCTTTATTAGCTTTCAGAATAACAAGGCGGTGATGACAGGCTGCTGAGTAAAAACAGTGGTCCCAACATTAGAAGCCAGGTACCGGACAAACACTTTCTAGCAATAAGCAGTTAGGAGACCATATCAGTTTCTCTGGATGTTTATTTCTGTGGTCATGTCAGACAACAAGGGAGCACAGATCTGAGCCTGAAATGGAGAATTGTGAGTAACATGTACGAATAATGCACAAGTAGGACTATAAAATAATGTAATACTTCGCATTTTAACAAAACACGCTCACGTGCATCTCCTTACTCACAAAGACTTTGATGCAATTTTTGATGAGACTGGAAAAATAGACATACAGGGACTGCACACCTCACGAGAGCAACGGCACGCAAACTCTCGCTCGGTGCCCGCAGGCCAGACAGCGGCATCAAACGCAAACAATGCTTAGCTCTGTGGAACGAGGGAACGAGGTTCTTACATTATTCAGCATTCTGTGCAAACTCATACTCACATGTAACATGAGACGGTCTACCCCAACTCCCAATCAGTAATTAATACCCACCCCACCCCTGAAACATGTACATATTTATATGCCTATTATATATATATAAAAAGAGAAACTTAAAAGGATAGCGGTCAAAGGACTGTCTCTGCAGAATGTTCTACGAGAGGCTGCAAAGGGGATGGTAATCTCACCATCACAGAATCCACAAGCCAGGAGATAACGCTGCCCCCCCCCCCCCCATACACACACATCCCAAGCCAAGCCTTGGCACTGGAATACTTGTGTATGCTTGTTCTCCAGTCCCAGGATTCTACTCTTCCTCCACATTCCAGTCCTCCGCTCTCCTCGTGCAACTCGGATGCTCACAGACGGATGACACGGTCACATCTTCCCCGGAGCTGAAGGCATCATTCCAGGCATCCCACCAGACATCCCAGTGTTGGGTCCAAGCAGGATCTGCTCCGCAAAGTGACAGTATTTTTTTTTTTTTTTTTTAAATAAAAAAAAAGGTCTGGCTACAAAGTTTCATATGAGACCAAAACATGAAATGCAAGACAACCTGGGAGGGATATAACTGACAAAACCAGTTCACCTGTCTCTGCTGCTGTAGCTGCTGCTGCTCCAGTTGCAGTCGCTCTGTCTCAAAGACCACCGGCAGAACCAGGATCATGAAGGACGTGGTGCCCACCCAGAGCGCCGACCGGGTAAAGCTGGTGGGAACGAGCCGTGAGGAACAGAGAGGACCACCAGGCGGAACATGTGCAGCACTTCCTCAACTCACCTGTACAACTTCTTGGCCACAGAAAGAGAACAGTCCACAGACACCTCAGCTGCAGATCTCAGGCTATCTGGGAACATCTCAGTGAGGCCCCACAGCCTTTCCGTGAGGGTTTCATCTAACTGCAGGGAAGCGCACCAGGAAATCAGCAACAAAAACAGAGACGCTGACCGACACATGCCATGGATAGGAGTTACAGTTAAGAAGACAAATCAAAACATTATCATACGATATTTCCTATCTAAAAAGTTTAAGTAAGGCAACACTGAAAGTGGGCTCCGTTGAGCCTGAGATACTTGACAGGCTGCCGAAAAATACATGCCCCACAGTAACGCAAACTCCACGCTGAATGTAATGAAAAATAATCTACTCAATAAGGTGGGTTTGCAGGACGTCCTATAACGAAAAAACACAAGGCAGAACAAACTACGTTTTGCAGAAGTATGCGTTATACATCACAGTTAATTTAATAGTACATTCAGTTAACACAAATGATGTCGAACTACAATAAATGACAAACATGCCCCTCGTATAAGTGTTTCGCTGCTGCACAAATTGACTACCTCGGGAGACGTGTTCCAAGTTATGCCCTGGCAGCCAAGGGACTAATGCTGGTTGGGAACAGCGTAAATTTTGTCTTAAATAGCGTTTCGTTTGGGCAATCTAGCTTTCTCTCTTTGACATTTGCGCGGGCATAGGAGGTCCCGCGATCAATAAATCTGCAGGAACCAACAGCCTGCAGCGTGACTGAGATGTGTAGCTACCTCGTCGTCTTCATCATCTCCTTCGATCTCGTCTTCGGGGGGCCGGGTCTCAACTGGGCCCGATGAGGGAGAAATCTCCTCGATTCCAGCCATTATCCACTTCCCTCACCAAGTCACCCACGGGACGTTAGGCCTTGTGCCTCTGAAAGCCGGAGTAAGTGCGCCGCAAGTCAGCCCTAAGTCTGTTTTTTGTTTTTACAGCGGTCTGACCGGTTTCACCCGAGCTTGCCTGAAAGCACTAGCGAGAAAGCGTGTAAGGGATCTGCAGCAGTCTGAGGTCATTCAAGTTACATGCGCGTCGAAAGCCCGGAAACAGCGATGCCGAACGTCACAAAGCGGTAGCGCCTATAGTGGTATCGCCACCAAGCGGACAAGAGGACCACCGGCAGTCTAGAGCGCTCCTGGATTCTTTCTGCGAAAAAATATTCTCTGACATTGCAAATCTAAGACATTAAGTTAAGCGAAAATAAATGTACTAAGAATTCGTAGTAAATACATGTCACCAGCAACAAGTGTCACTTTTTCTTCACTTGAACAAGGTATGAGATTATTTATCGTGTGCTACAGTATCTATTACATGCACATCAAATATAATACATTCAATAATACACCCAAACGTAAGAGGATTTATGGCACACAATTATATATAGCTTAATATTACTACCGTACTTAAATCCCAGACGCAAGTAAGAAAATAAAAACAAATAAGCGCAGGCCTGCCACAATACTCATATTATGGAGAAAAAAACGTTTCGTTTGTTATGGATTCATATTACAAGTAGCAAGTATTCGATTCGTGTAAATGTTGTGAATCTGTGCGGTTACTGATGACAGGTAAAACTACAAGGCCTCCGCTGGTCCACATTACAAAAATGGCGTGGCTCCGTTTGCCAGACGAGCTACATTCTTTCCACGCACTTCGGCTGGAGCGTCGCTGTTCCGCCCTCGTGCCTCGGGCCTGACGTCACCCTCTGCGCGTTTTTTTATGAATGAAAGCGAGCGAGCAGAGTGAGTAATTCCGGGAAAAGGCGAACTGACATTTTTCTGCTGTTGGGTAACAAGCTTAATGTTTTTGTCCACGGATCAAGTTCGTGCGGCGTGTTAGATTCGGTCCGTGTAGACTAAACTGAAACATCGGACACTGATCCCGATTGTCTTTAGAAGAAAATAAGAGGTAAGAGGATTTTTTTCCCTTTATCTGTACCTCAGGTAACTACATTTGTCAGCTAACTAGCTAGCTAGCTAGCTAGCTAGAGCCGAGGACAGCGTTGCGTAGAAGGTATTTGATACGGCATTATTACAGTACATTTTGAGAAAAGCAGACATCATAGTAATCTGAATGTTTGGGAGATTGTGGGGAAATGTGTTTGTCAGATGTTTTGAATTTATTAAACCAGGAAGCTTTAAAACCCATAAAATGAAGCTTGGAAGACGGCGCGGTTGCAATGGCTGTGTTTACACACATAGCGACCTGGCTTGTTATTTTCCGTATAAGGACATGGGTGGACTGGTATTAAGATTTATGTGTTTACAAAAAAGAAAAACTGTATACCCGGCCTTCGCGTTTGTAGCGTACAACGAGTAAAGTTTTATTTTTAAAAACTGACACATAACTAAATATAGTTAATCTAACTGCCGGTTGTATTCCGTGTCATCGGAAATCTTCCATCTTTTCCTGACGATGAAGTAGGAAGAAATTTTGACTGCTTTTAAGGCAGGTGGACTCATATCACGCACCTTATTTCCTTAATTTTGTATAGACTATATAATCAAATGATTCCACATAATATGAAATGAAAACGGATAATGTTTTTCCCCATATAAAACCTACCCCAGGTTACTATATTGTAAGACATTCCATTAACCGAAAAGCACGTTAATAGGCGCTTAATGAGAAGTTGCGCCTGTTCACCGAACATTTAGCGTTTTTTTCCCCATAGAGCTGTGTATTCCCAGGATTATCCCAATTGATTTTTAATCCGGCGAAACTTGTAATAAGGATATCAGGAAGGAGCCGGGGGGAGTGTCGCTTACGGCGGATATACTGCTGATTCACCGTGACTCTACGGTTTCCATAAGGGCGGTCGGCCGCGGCTGCCTCCCTCCTCCGCGGCCGCCGACGCGCGGTCCCCCCGCAGTCTGGAGGGAGTCTGCAGAGACCCGGCACTCCTCGCTCCGGCTCTTACACAACATTTAGGGTGCATTGTATTAAATCTATAATTGTTATATTTTGCCACCGCTTCTAACTCATCGCCGTTCACCGAATATGCTCTTTAGATTTGTATCAGATGATCTTTAAACGCGAACGCTGAAGCCTTGTTTGTAAAACGAGAAAATTAGGGAAGTGGTGGAGGATCGAAGCTTTTTTTAAGTGGTTTCGGGGGGGTGATGGTGGAAGTAGCTAAAATGCCGTTGAATTGCGTTATGGGATTTTTTGTTTTCTATTTCAGTCATCTGCCTCTTTGCCTATCTGTCCATCTATATTAAAAACTAGGCCTATTTGAACTTTTAGAGAATGTAATTTTTAACATTTTGTTTGATGTGAACTGAAATAACCTCATATTTAAAGGGTACAGTCAAAATAGTGCGTTATCCTCGCTTGATAGAAAATTGTTTTTGATCATGAATGTCTTGGGCGTTTTTAATTGACAAATTGAGTTATATACTCAGTTTTGTAAGGCACATGTTGAACACTTGGCACTCTGAAGTGTCTTTTACAAAGTCTTTTTATCCATAGAGGTTTTACTGTTTTTCATCTTACTTAGACCCACTTCCGAGGCGCATCATGACGTCTGACAGCAGAGTGAGCAAAGCGCTGAAGGTCAGTCCTGCATCTCGCTGTTAATCTGGTCACTGCCTACGGTGTTTTCGTCTTTAGCTTTTGTCAGCATGAAGTTCTCTACAAGAAGTCCTGTGTTGCTGATACGGCTTTTTGGAATTTCTGTCTTGTATTCCAGCAAAGCAGCTACGGTTAATCTTAAAAGCTGAAATGATTAAAAGGCTGTGTCTTGCAGATGCTTTACAGAATCTTGTCATCCCCCGGCTCCAGGTGAAGCGGGAGTGTGGGGAGAACATGCCGGTGCTGACGGACGGCGAGCTCATGTCCCTGTCTGTGCGCGAGCTGAACATGCACCTGCGCGGGCTCTCGCGGGAGGAGGTGCAGAAGCTGAAGCAGCGGCGGCGGACGCTGAAGAACCGCGGCTACGCGGCCAGCTGTCGGGTGAAGCGCGTGTCACAGCGCGAGGCCCTGGAGCAGCAAAAGGCGGAGCTGCAGCGCGAGGTGGAACGGCTGGGCGCCGAGAACGCGGGCATGCGGCGCGAGCTAGAAGGCTTGGGCGCGCGTCTGGCCGCGCTGCAGCGGTTCGCCCGCGGGCTGGAGCCCGGCGCCGGGAACCTAATGGCCGTAGCCCCACGCCTCAACACCGCCTCGGTCATCACCATCGTGAAAACGCCGCCGCAGGGACACGCGCAGAGGGAGCAGAGCAGTTCCTAGGGCTGGGGACAGAACTGGACCAGCGTCAGGAGCACAAGCATGACGGATCCACACAGCCGGACGCAGACACACCAGCACATACAGATACCCACACTCACAGACATAATCAGGATTGCTTGCACCCGTGCGATCGAGGGAGACAGGCCGCAGCACAGAGACTGATTTCTTGGTATCAACAGCTGCATGTTAATGACGATGTCGCATTTTACACGGGTAATTTCTACGCGGCGCCTATAGAAAATTGACAAAGCGTGTTATCTCGCCACCTGGCGAATCCCGATCGGAGCGACGGGTCACAGTGTGATTATTGGTATTCAGCGCAGTGCACTTCAACTCTCCATGCGTGCAGCACCATCCTCGATTGAGTTAGGATTGTATCAGTCATAGTTTTTCTTCGAGAGGAGCCGGATTTTCCCGGCCCTCTATCTTGGAGGACCTGTCAAGGCAACTGTAACTGGTTCTGTCAGTGCAAGTTAAGAATATGCTCCTCTGTTTTTCTTGTTTCTTTTCCTGTGTTTTGAAAAGCGGCATTTATCAGAGTCGTTTTATTTTGGAATCGTATTTAAGATTGAAGTTAAATAGCAAACCTGTTCTGTGATCAAAGTTAAAAAAAAAACAACTTAATATTGATATGTCGTTCATGATTCTTAAACTTGCTATTAATATTAGGAATATGTGTTAATTTGAGTACAAGATATTTCTTTTTGAGGGGTCTATATAATATGAGAGTGAGCATTTGTGTTGATGTTATTTATGTATTTTTGAGCAATTGGACATGAGGGTGACGCCACAGGAAGTAAAGGAATGAATGAAATACCAGAGAGAGAAAGTGGAGGGGTACGTGTGACGAAGCAGTGAGAGACGAAGGCACTTGGGACGTGATATCGATGGTCACAGAAAAGGACACGATGGTGTGGTGAATCTGTAGCCCTATCAGAATTAACAGATTTTTCTAACCAATCAAGACAAATGTCTTTCCTGGGCTCCAGGAAATCAGACATTGATGAGTACTTGCATTTATAAGATGCCAAATAAGTTCACTGTATGTTGTGGGGAATTTCCCTTAATGTGGAAGTTTTTTTTTGTCCTTTTAGCAGATGTAATTGAACTTGGATTTAACCAGCTTTGCAATTTGGTCCCTAAATAATATAACCATCATATGATTTGAGTTAATTTAACTATTGCAGAGAATGTCATACTTGAGAGTTTTATTAATGTGTAATTGTCTGTTTGGCTCTGTAAGGATTTGATTAGAGGCGCAACTTAAAGCGTTTAGTCCCATTAATAACAACCAGAAACCACCTTTAATTATGCACACGCTGTGGGATGTTTTATAAGGCTCTGGAAACAAAGGCATTCTTGTTTGTATTTATTGTATGTATTTTTTTCTATTGGTGAAATAGAAGTACTTTAAGTATTTTATAATTAATAAATGTATATATTGTATATATTTTTTTTGTGGCGTGTAATTTAATTCATTATTTCCTTTAAGAACAGATACTTGTCGGTCTGATGGCTGTTCTGTACTGATGCCACTCAGCCCCATGGCAGGAAGTGGTGTCACATGCTGTTGGATAGATGCTGTTATTGTTATTGATCAGGTAACACCTCTGTTTACCTTCAATGGTTTCCGGGTGGCGGTTCTCTGTTTTCATTTACATCAAACACCTTCCATGTCAGATCACCCTCATCCTTTACTTTGATCTTGTTTAAGATCATTACCAAAGCAGAGTCTCTGTCAACAGACCCAATCCACATTAATGACCTTATTGCTTTACACAGAGATCTGTCTTTTACTATAAACCCTGAACATTCCCTTAAAGTATGTTAAAACCGGGGAGTTTATTAGTGGTGATTAAAGATGGACTTGATTTCTGTCCTATGTGAAGGAAATGGGGAAACGGAGCCATAGAACGACTGAAATGTGGGAAAATTACAAAGGAGAGAACAAAATATGCATCTTGGGATGGAGACGTGCTACAGGATTAAAGACGACAAATGTAACCGAAAAGTACACAAACGCGGCTTGTGCATGCTGACCTTACAGAAAATATAAAGAATATCTAAAATCACACTGAACGATGAGTAATTTCCTCAGATTCTTTCTGTTGTGTGTTGTGGTTGGACACAGTTTCTGGAAACATGCTTACTCAGCTGCCTCAGACTGACAGACACAATACTGCAGGCGCACAGCATGATTTCTTAGCCTTGCTTGGCTTTGGGGTTACTGCTGTGGTTCCGTTTGTTTTGGGAATAACTATTTTTGTAAAATATGGATATGCAACCAGTGTTGATTGTATACTATTACTCTGTTAGCAATGGGGATAAAAATCAGAGTCAAACATAAAAGCTTGCTATTTGCAGATATTTTGGTTGATATAAATACGCCGTTGACCAAATCATAGCCAAGATGGCGTAAATTATCTTGCAGGTAAGTTTGCTGAATGGAAGCTGAAAAAGAGGAGATGTTTTCATGGCGCTTAGGGGTTCCCACTATGAGAAGATCTTACAAAGAGTTCAAAATAACAATCAGACCCCATCAGTCAGCAATCGTCCAGAAGGCCGATGACCACTTGAGAGTCATTTTAATGTTGCAATCTAAAACATTGAAATGTGAATCAATCAAAACCAACTGACCACACAAAAACATACAACTTCAGAATAGCTGACTTCCTCTGGTCTTTGTAAACAGGTTCCTGGTTTTTTGACTTGTGTTAGCACTGGTCCTACACCACTTCACAGACCCCCTTTCCCAGTGGCCGACAGTCACCTAAATTAAAACAGCTAGGACCAGAAAAACACAGGGAACACAACCAGTACATGGAGTTTCAACAGACAGGAGTGGATGCTGAGGATTCAGGGATGTGCAAAAGAGAGATCCAGGTCCGAGCCAAGGAGTCAGTTGGACCATCCACGGAAGACGCCGTAGTGCCTCAAAGCTGTTTATTTTTGCAAAGTGAAACATTTTTATAGTGGAAGCTGCGTTTAAAGCTATTGAATGTCAAGACAAATAAACCCACATACACCGTAATCCACAGTAACAAAAACGTAATCGTCCACTAAGTTTCTAGACTGCATTTCTTTCAGATTACAATAACTGAGGACCCCGCCCAGGTACTTGGGTTCATGGCGTGTTACTGACACTGGGTGAGGCTCCTAACCTGCAGCTTAACCCCCGTTAGCGAAGAGAAACACAGAATAAAGAACAGCTCACATACATACAAGAGGCAGCTGGACTGGGAGTTAAGTAGCGCTACTCCCTGCTGAGCGGCTAGAAGGACGCCTTAAAACTGCTGATAAAGATGTTTTGGGTCGCCCAGGTTATAGATAAGGCTGCACAGAACATGAAAAGCTGCGGACAGCTGCCCTCTAGCGGCTACAAGAGGCAGTGTCAGGCACACTTGTTGGAGGCCACATCAGTATGGCATCTGTTATTCTGACTTGTTTAATGCCCTAAACGAGTAATCTGGAGCTAATTAATAACAAGGCAGTAGGGTTTTAAAAGGCTTTGCACATATGCATGACCGGTTAAAGCTTGATATAGTTTAAATGGACTGTCTATCTCTATATGTCGTAAATGCGGGTTGAAATGGAACATGAATTTATTTAATATTCTCTGTCCACTTACTGCATCCGAGTGGAGGTGGACTTTTCGCAATTAAAGGTGTTACGTTCTTGCCATATAGCGGATCAAGCACGTCTCTCCTGATCCCTGACATGCAGTCAGCCACCGCAGTTCGGCTCCGATCGCGTGTCGCCTTGTTCGTCCACCACGATCTGAACTGTCCCACCGTGGCCCGCAAAGTCCCTCATATCCTCGATCTTAAGTCTTAAGACACTGGAAACGATCTGCATAAGGTCACATTTAATTAACAAATGAATAAGTTATTAAACATTAATTCTGAGCGATGATTTTTGTTATAAAAAAAATCAGGATTTGAGCTCGATGCTTTTGTCTAGATGCTTTTTTTGAATGACATTCGGGGACGAGCAATCTGAATCTCAAACATAATAATTTCTGTGGCTTTCGCTGAGTCTGTCCCTTCGGGGGGCGCTGCCCAAGCCCGGTCTGCCGCCTGCACTGCTGGCAGGCTGGGGAGACATAGCGCCTCGCACGTCGCACATCCACCATGTCGACCCACTTTTATGGCGTCCTTCAGCTTTCGAGGACAAGGAAGGTGAGTCCATTACAAAAGAGTGAGGGTTTACTGGCATGCAAGTAAAAACAAAGCCTCAGTAAAAAAACACATGGAATAGCACTCACCACCTATATTTTGTATATACATGTACCAAATTAATGCATCGCTTAAACGCGTAATAATATAAAACAGCATAGAGATTTAAAGAAAAAGAAAAAAACGCGGGAACGTGGAAATACAGATATCAAGAGACTCTCCAAACTTCCAATATGCTGGGAAGATCCTTTTAGCACAACAGATTCAGGGTGAGTGAAAAGAAAAAAAGGTGCCACGAATAGATGATAAAAAAAGAGGACAGAGCAATTAATATATGGAGGTGGATGGACTGTAGAAATGGTGGTAAATGGAGGGCAGGGAGAGGGACAGAGACAGCTAAGGCGTGAGGGTGGGATTACAGGGCAACCCTTCCCTAGCCAGTCCCCTTTGGGGGGGGGGAGCCCACGTTTTCTGGATTGCCTGGGGGTCCCTGAAGACCCAGTAAGGAAACACTGTTATAGGGGAGGAATTAAACTGACAGAAAATGGAGATTAATGAGGGAGTTACTATTGAGCTGAGCAGCTTAGGCTAAGTGGAAGCTGGCTTATTAGGTCAGCACTGTTGTAGGATTCAGGTGCATAAGGGCAATGCAAAACACGGGCGGGCTATGTATGGATGTGGCACCTCCTACAGTACAGGAGCCAGCAATTCATACTGCTGTAGTAGTGGATCACTTCCCAGACTATAAAACTATCATTTCAGTGTTTGCGACATATTTTTGCAGATAAAATGAAGTTCTCCACTGGGATATTGGAGAGTACAGAAGAATCTTTGGGGTGGGGTTTGGCAGTAGAATGGTAGTTGCACAACTGGCTGTCAGCTTAGCCGTATTTCATTAACCCTGTTCCTTTAAAGAGCACTACCATGATTTGGTTAGAGGCCCATAAAACGCCGAGGGGAGACCCCAAGGTGCTGGGTAACCGGGAACTGCTCTGACCTGGCAGCATACCGGATTAAAAGAGTAAATGTGACCTCACCTGGGAAATTAGTCCCTCTTGGACGGTCACGACGGCTCCCTGCTCTCCCACTGGCTGAGGTAGCTGTCAGTCAACTGCAGAAGCAAGCAGGTGGGGATGGTGCCCCTAGTGTGAATTTATGGTATATCAAACACGGGGAGTGATGTAAAATTTATAAAGGTGACAGAACCCATTAAAAGACACGTATCATCAAATCATAGCAGGGACAGCATCAGCATATTTTATCCCAGAAATAAGTCCAAGAGTGATGGAGACGACATCGGCACGCCAATAAAAACATGGCCGACCGGTTTTAGCGCAAACACCTTAGCTGGGGCTGAGGAGGGGGTCGTTTTACTCCCCTTCCAGTAAGGAAGCCGCCACCCAGTTCAGGCACAGGGACATGCTGATTTTGCTGAGGGCTGCAGCCGCTGGGTGAGTATGCAATCTGTCAGAAGGGGATTATGGTCTGCGGTTCCCAAGCTGCAACATGGATGGCCGTGTTGTCGGCAGCATGCATTTACTGCTGCTCACTCGTCCACCTGTCGCATGCATCCCCCCCCCCCCCAAAGTATCTCTCTTCCATCCCTCAAATGGCAATTCTATTGCTACCCCCCCTCAGATCACATGCCCAGTCTCAGCTTACCAGCTGGAATTGCATGTTCTCCCTTGTTTGTGTATGTTAGCCTGCATGTGCACGTGTGCTGTTAGCTCAAGGGCGTCTTTGCCTCGCGTGTGTATGTCTAAAAAAAAAAAAAACGGGGCTTTATTTTTAGCCTGAGCCCCCGGGATGCAGCTGCTACCTGCTACAGCTCATGTGTCTTTTGAAGGAAAATACCCCCCCCTCCCTTATCCGCACAAACACAGTCACCCTTTCGCACGCAGACAGTCTGTCATTCTTACTTTCGGCTCATGCCATACTGCACGGTGTCAAGACTGCTACGAGAAACCAGGGCTGTCATGTCGTCACATCGTCACGTCAAAGCGCCTCTCAGATCATGTCCCAGGAGAGGATGCTGCTGTTGGAGCCTTAAGTGAAGCACTGAAAGTGAATCACGTCAGCAAAAAAAAAAAAAAAACAGACCTGATGCAAATCACCTTAAAAATGTTTCTGAGGCCAAACAACGGATTTTGCACTGAATAAGTTACATATGTACTTACCTTATATAGTGATCCTGAGAAATGCAGATAATGTAGAACAGGACGACATTCATGGCAAATAACATTGTTGGCATTAACATGAAAAGCTTGTTAAAGAACACTGCAGTGTTATATTAACGAGTCTAAAATGTTATTGCAGTGATAAAAAGCATTTAAAAAAACACTGAAGGTCTAAACTATTATCACTATAATATTTGGATAGCAGATTTCCTTGGCTTAATTTTTCATTTCACATTTATAAACTTCAAACATATTCTAATCCATTATAAGGTTGTATAGAGGTGAGACAGACAGTTTTCACGTGGTTCTCTATGGTTCTCTAAATGAACCAAACCAAAAATTGCCGCTGTTTCTGCTACAGAACTGCAGCTCGTATGAGATCAGTCACCCAGTGGTTTGTGGGTTTTATGAGGGATTCTTCAAAAACAACTCTTTGTTGGGTTGTGATGTGGTGATCGTCGCTAGGCAACAGGTTTCCTCTTCCCAACCATCCCAAGAGACCTTGCAACAACAAGAGAGAAAAGATGGCGTTCTCTGTCTCGGTCAAGGAAGCCATCTGTCACTGGCGATACACATAAACATATGCACACAAAGCACAAAGGTTAGATTAAAAGTTTTATTTGCTATAAAATATTGAGCAGACAGCCTCGCTAAGATACCGCTTGCTTCTGGGTCGCTGCACGAAGCAGATATTTGGTGCTTCATTTCAGCCAGAGAGGCCTCTGTAAAAGGCTACAGTAGTAAGTTTCCAGTAACCCAGATATGACCCAGATCAAAGTAAATTATAATAAATGCCGTTTTACTATAGTCTGTTCAAGTCCATCTAGGTTCAATAGACAGCCAGGTAATTAGCCACAATTGAAAAATTAGTAGATACTTAGCAAGTTAATTACAAGGTGTTATAGATAATCTCTGATTGCACCTGTAAAGGCCATGAGAAGGAGAATTACTTTACACACCTCAGATTAAGGTTGACTGAGGTGACATTTGCACACAGTCCCATGGGTTTCTTGCAGATAACATGCCACTGAAGGAAATTCTATTTAAAATATTCACGATTCCACCAGAATGTTCAGTGAATGACTTTCACATCTATTGACGCAATTGTAGGAATAAATAAGGGTGAGGAGGCAATTATTAAAACTGATTGCATAAACGTCAAACAGCTGTATTTATGCAAGAGCTAGAACATTGAATGTCGTTTCCACAAACGCAGCAGCGGCATTAGCCTGCTGTGAACACACACACACACACACACACACACACACACACACACACACTGCCTGTCAGCCAGTCCCAGATATTATCTCACACCAGGGATTCAACCAACTGCAATAGACTTTTGGAAATTTCTAATTACAGTTCTTATATCTGTTGATTAAATGTTGTTTTGGTAGGCTCCTGAAGATCACAGCTCAACAGCTTCAAGTTGTGAAACAGCTTATCACACAGGCAAATCGGTCAGACACCCTGTGTAAAGAGCCCACTGTACGCGGGGGGGGGGGGCACCACTGACAGCATTTCGTCTCACTGCTCCTGCTCATAAACTAAGATTATCACTGGGATGATGAGTCTGATGAGGCTAATTAGCAGTGTTTTCCCATTGGACAAATATTATCATTCTTCAATGGAATTTTTAAGCAGTGCTTTGAGGATTTCAAATCAAGATCTTAGCATGGCGGTGCGGTTTGCGTGCCATGGAGATCCACAGATCCATGTCTACTGGAGCTTGATGTTATGGTACATCTTCCTTTGGCAAATAAGGGAGAAGCCAGACAAAGAAAGACCCCCCCCCCCCGAAAGATACCCAGTAGGCTGAGTGTGTCCTGCCTGGAGTAGGGTTACTGAGACCCACCTTAAGAGTCTGACCTGGGGGTGGGAGTCTCTAACCACCAGGCCACCCATGTAACCTAACCGGAAATTTAATTCAGTTCAATTCAATTTATTTTTATCTAGCCCCTTTCATGACAGGGTTGCCCCAAAGCGATTTACATGGGTGTCTGGTAATATATTACAGCATCATTTATACAGAATAATGTGTGACACAGGGAAAAGGGGAAGGCAGAAAGAAAGAAAGAAAGAAAGAAAGAAAGAATGAAAGCCAGAAGACAACAGGACGGGAACCAAAAACTCCAAAGTGGGGAGAAAATCTCTGGGGGTCAAAGGTCAACTGCCTGCCCAACCCCCCTGGGCACTAACATTATAGAAAAGAAAGAATGGGCCTGTAGACTGTGGCTATGGGCAAAGCCAGAGTCCATGAGTGAGTTGGTTCTCTGTGTCAGCCTGTGTGATTCAGCAGGGCGAAGGCTGGACCCATGATGATGCTCTTTGATGGGACTGAACCGGGACTCCAGCTCAGAAGGTGCCCACCCTGGGCACCATCCGGACATGTTGGGAAGGAAGGCAGAGAGCATGGGGGGGGGTCAGAACATGCAGAGACACATTAGTGGAGAAGCACCGTAGACCAAAAATGGCATGTACAGCAGCAGCCATAGTTACGGTGTCTTAAGGTACAGATAAGCTAGACTGAAATAACAGGTCTTCAGTCAAGATTCTAAGACTGAGACTAATCCGGCATCCTGAACATGAGCTGGCAAACCATTCCATAATATCCTGTAGCAGACTGCTTTACTGCTGTTACTTTATATGTGGGATGACTAGGAAGCCTGCAGTGTCTGATCTTAAATGATCATGTGGGCTCACCACCCACTAGGCGAAAGGTAAGGGTCAGGTCCGGTGTCATTTGGGCGGCAGGCATGAGTGGAAAGGCTCCAAATTGATTAGACTTTGGCACTAGGTGTGTCTGGTGGGGAAGGAGCCTGGGCTAGTGAAGGAGATAGAAAGGCATCAGCAGGATGAAGATGGCCTTACCTTCATGCACAGGGCTCTGGAGATTTGGAGAAGGCATGTGACCACAAGCCCCATTACATACTGCGAGTGGTGCTACAGGAACACGGGGAAGCAGGGCTGCTATTTGACCTACTCGGTAAAAGTGGGCGGCCCCCATCAGAGTGGGTCTTCGGTCTTGTATGTCACGGACAGGATGACATGGGCAGCTGCGGCTGGAAGTGACATCCCTGCTATTTGCAGATGATGTCATGCTTTTGGCCTTACTGGACCAGCACCTACAAGCACACGTTCCGACACATTTCCATAAGCGGGAGGCAGCTGGAAAGGAGGGATCCTTTCTGGTGAGGGGAGAAAGTCTGACCTTGGTGAAGGAGTTCAAGGGCCTTAGGATCTTCACGAATGATGCTGAGAAATGACTGACGGATGGATTGGTTTGGTGACGGCAGTTTTGTGGGGACTGAGGAGGTCCGTGGTGGTAAGACGGAGTGAAATTGAATGGTCTACTAGGCCATCTGCGTTACCATTCTCACCTCTGATGACGACTGAATGAACAAGGCTGTGAGCATGGGTGTAAATTATGAGGGCAATGGGAGGTTGTACCCCCCCCCCACAAATAATCAGATCCAGGCAATACAACCCCACCCCCACAAATAATCACATTGTCATGATGAGTGGGTGGGGACCTCATCCCCCAATGTTCCATCCAAAGTTACACCCTTGGCTGCCAGACTCTCTATGACAGGGCAAGGAGTTTGGGGAACCAGAGGAACCTCAGAATAGATCCTTTGGATTGAGAGGAGTCAGCTGAGGTGGTCTGAACATGGCTGCAACCTGGACGCCTCCCAGAGGAGCTATTCTGGGCTCGTCCCAAAGGGTGGGGGGGGGGGCCCTGGGAAAGACTCAGGACGCGCTGAGGACAATTATATCTCCCAGTTGACTTGGGAATGCCTAGGGATCTGCCGTAACGAGCAGGAGACTAACCGTGAAAAAGGGGTCTAGTCTGACCAGCTTGGAAAGCTGCCACCCCAACCCTCACTGGGAGGAGCAGTGGGACGATGACGACGAGCTGCTGACGTGCTGTAACACTGCAATTCACTGCATCTTATACAAGGAGTGACATAGTGGCTTATTGTGTGTGAAGTTTGTAAGTTCTCTCATTTATGTTTACTCTAGATACTAGTTAGTCCCAAGCTGTGCAGTAATGCTAACAGACTCTCTAAAAGGCCTGTAGTGCATGATTGTGCATGCAAGTGCCTTTATACAGTGACCTCTGATGAATTGTCCAGTGAACCGCAGCTCAGGGCTCTAAGCTGCTCTAGACAAACTCCAGGCCCCAACCTGAGCCGGAGCAGAACAGGCAGATGGAAAACATACAGCATATGATTTATATAAAAATATACATTATGGTGACATATTTAAATGGCAAAACGTCCACCGGAATCCCCCCGAACGGCTCATTTTCAAACAGACCTCAGCCGTAGGCACTGGGGTTAACGGGGGGCTTTGCGAGTATGCGATCAGCTGCAGAGTCCCTCATTTCAGCCGAACGAGGGAGGAGAAGCGACGGCGGGCAGAGACAGACAGCGAAGGGAAGCGAGAACGGAAGAGTGGCTTTTAAAAAACTTTTATTACTTCATAAAATATACACAAATACTGTTGTAAATAAAGTTAAGCGTGTTAAAGAACTGTACAAGATATAAGTACACAATACATAGCGTGTCTCGCACCCCCCAGGCCGGCTTCACGCCGTCTGCCGTCTCACTTTAGAGGAGAAAAAAAAAGTAAAACACTATTTTTTTTTTTTAAAAAGGGGGCTGTTAGAATCCGGTGACATGAACCTGGCTCACATCCGAACCACACTTCAGAACCAAAATGTCACAGAAGTCACAAATGTCACAGAAGCCAGTGAGCAAATAAACTCCACATTATACAAGAAAAAAACGCCCTGACTCCAAGCCACCCCTCCACCACCCCCAAATCAAATACCCCCCATTTCTCCAAAAAAGGAGTCAATACAAATTTCTGGTTAGGAATAAAAACTGCATGCTAGGTTACAGGTGGCGACGACAAACGGCCAAGCGACTTGTAACGGAACCCAGTGCAAAAAAAAAAAAAAAAAATTTAAATGGTGGAATAGAGAACCCTGGAGAAGAGGAACTGGAGGTTAGTAGATGACAGGGGGACCACATGACATCACTGTGAGGGACCAATCAGGACAGAGCACACTGAAGACAGCGCGGTGGACCATACCACTGGAATAACGGCACCAAGGGGGGGGGGGGGACAGATATTTCTTCAAGAGTTCTTCAATATACAGACAGCAGGAAAATATATACAAGACATTTGTTAACTTCCACCTCGGGCTCACAACAGAAATTAGGAGTCCATGCGTGGATTAGCGCGAAAAATTTCAGCACTGAAATTCTCACAGACACAAAGGGACTGTTCGCAAATGTAAACGTGTCACTCGGTACCCAACTCTGAAAACCTGGCACAGCGTACGAGAGAAAAATGACCCGGCTGGCAGTGTAACTACAGTCAGACACCACCTGTTCATGTCAGTCTCATCCCCACATCTACTCTCAACATGACACCTTAGACGACATTTTGGCTTTAGGCAAAAACAGACAAAAAAATATAAATATTTACAGTGACATAAAAAGCCCCCCCCCCACCCTAAACATCATCCCCATTTGTCTAAAACCTCTGAATCTGAATAAAATTTAAAATTATTAATGTAAACTGTTTGGCCATAAGCAGGATAGGTTTCAGCATCTGGTCAAAAGAGGAGGGTTAAAACAGACACACACACACGCAAAAGCTAAAGTTAATTATATTTTGAGGGGAGTTCAGTGGTATTTATCTGGATTTGTTTAAACTATGAACACTCAAATGTGTAAAAAGAGGAGATGGGTGCAAGCATTGGTGGACAGGGCGGGGCTTGTATTTGGGGGCGGGGCCTGTAATTAAAGGCACATACCTTTCCACTATCCACCCCCACAGTACATCATGTTGGCTCAGCAGCCTTTGTGCCAGTCTTTCGTGTACAACGGGGAGGGGCAGCGCGCCCTTCCAGACACCGCTTACATTCACTTACCGTACCCCCCCTTCCTCCTGCCAAATCACCTCACATTTCCACCTCTGCCCCGCTTACCTCCCTCCTGAGACTCGATTTGTTCCATACAAGCCCCTCGACATGGCTGCCGACCATGACATTTCCACAACACACGTGACAAGAGGAACTGATGGGGGGGGGGGGGGAATCGTGCCGTCAAAGAGTAGGTCGTGGGTACATAAAAAGCATGGATACATTTAAAAAAAACTAAGTCCAGATATGATTAAATCTGAATTAGCACCTGAACTGTTATTCTCCATTGCTTAGTGATGGCATTCTGTGAACGAAAGAGGCAAATTAAACGTCGCCCATCATCCGAGGCCGACGGGGAATGCTGGTGAACCTGACAGTGTAGCAACTGGAAGGACTGGTGGACTTAGATCTTCTGTCTGTGAGGCATAGGTAAGAACCCTCCCCCCCACACCTCCAGGTGGAGAATAATAACCCCACCAATCCCATCCGTTCATGGCTTTGTTCGGTTGTTTTGCAAAAGCTCGTTTGTTTCTTCCTGTTATTCACTCCCGCGATAAACTCTGCTGGTTTCAAAAGAGACGACAGCGTAAAATTATGCGTTTTAGTACCCGGCGAAGTTTAACAGCTAATCGAACGTTTAAGAATGGGATCTGGTGGAGGCTTTCCGATTCTTGTACTGATCAGAGAGTGGGCGGGTCCACGGGCAGCCCGCCGCGGCCTGGCAGGGTGGAGGAGGGCGGGGCTGAGCTCACTTCCCCAGGTGCTCGAATGGCATGCCGACCTGTATGGAAGGAGTGAACAGGCCCAAACGCTTGACCGATGGAAAGTACTGGCAGGAAAAGGTATAATTTTCTTTATTAGTTCTGAAGATATACTTTGAAAGCACTAAAAGTCAGCAGCTCTGGAGTCATTGTACCAAAGAGTGGGGAATCAAACAGGATATTACACCTTAAGTAAATAAAGCACGCTGCAGATTCTAAATGGAAGATTTTGTGGGGGTGACAAGAAAACTGAGCTGAATGAAAGGCAAACCACAAAGGAAAGGCGGGTGCCAGGCGGGGGCGGGGATGGGGGGGTACCTGTGACGCAGTAACGCGTTGCTGCTCATGGCGGCCGGCTGCATCTGAGGACGACACGTTGGCGGGGGCACCCCGGTGCAGTCGCATGCTCACCTTGCGATCGCGCTCTGCCCGGGTGATGACGCGTGGGGACGTATTTCCTGGGGGAGGGGGGGCGCAAACTCAGAAACCTGGCTATTGCACTGGCGGAGCGTGAAGCCAGATTCTTACCGTTAACGAAAACTACGAGAAACCATTTTCGTAACACACACACACACACACACATATACACACACACAAGCTCCTTGGCAAAGTCAGACACACCAAACTCACCAGGCTGCTGGACTCGTGCCGCAGGGCCCATGACCGCAGCCTCGGGTCCATTCCGAACCCGTCCGGACACCTGGGGGTTGGGGCCCGGGGGTAGTGCGCGGGCTGCTGAACCGCGGGGACCGGGGGCCACCCGCTCATCCCGCTCCTCGCCGCCCCTGCGTTCCCGCTCACTGTCTTCTGTGCTCCGGCCGGCACCCTGCGCGAGCGAGGAGGAGCGGCGTCACAGCCAGCGACAAACTCTACAAGCAGCGGAACGGATTTAAATACAAGCCAAAGTTCAGAAACTGACATCTGTCACACTTCTGGTTCTAGCAATTAATCAGCCACTCTTAGGGTTAATTATAAATATTTAGGCCGAAGGCAGCAGTCTTTCTGGCCCACTGATGGCCATCTCCACCGCATTTTAAAATCCAACAGATGAAAGATCTGGGGAAGATCACTGTCAGCTCTTTGCCTTGATTACACTGAGCAGTTAAATGAAATAATAACAGGATGTTAGACATTTCAGGGAGATGCAGAGCAGCATTAGAAAACCCTGCAGAACATCTTCGAAGCTTCACTCTCCACCGTTTAACGAAAGGCAAACAGGTTCTCTAAAGTTAAAGTGGCTGAAGTGAGCAACACACATATAACCTAAACACGAAGGTATCCAAACCCACGCTGATGTGCAGAAACACAACACAGCAGAGTCGTGCTAATCTGTCCAATACGGGGAGGGCATCGAGTATTTAGGCGCGATACTGAGTGCGGAGTGTGAATTCTCACATGGTAAAAACAACAGCAAACATCTCAAACTGATAGAAATCAAACAGCCGGTTATATTAAATCGAGCCAGATTATTAACACATATCAGGTCACGTGACCAACGAAGGAACAATAAACGTCTGACACGCTGACAGCAGACTGATGGTCAAACATTTACAGTAACATTCTCAGTCTGGTGCAGTTTCCTCCCGTTTTATACCGGTTGCTGTTCAGCCTCTTCACAGTAAGTTTTAAACATTGTACTATTACACAGTTGCTCCCTCTTGCATTACATGATTTTTTTACATGTAAAAACCCATCTGAAGAATTCCAGGCAGGTTTCCAGTACAACAGGCAGCAATCAAAGCATCTCGGGAACAAAAGGGAAAAAAGGCACTAAAATGACTAAAGACTGAACCTTAAGGATATTAACCCTCAGCCACCTGCGAGACAGAAATGCTTCATCTGAATAAGGCAAACCGGCCACGGCAGCCGACAGCAAGCAAGTTCGGGCCCGGCTTACGAATTTGAGCATGTTCCAGTCGAAGACGTAGTCGTAGGAGAAGCCCTGCCTATGGAAGAGGTTCCTGAAGAGCTGCCGCAGGTACGAGTAGTCGGGCTTGTCGTCAAACCTCAGAGAGCGGCAGAAGTTCAGGTAGGTGGAGAACTCAGCTGGAAGAGGGGAGAAATGGGCAGGGGTGGCCATTAGAGGGGAGGACAGAGAGGGACCAGGGGAACGCACAGGCCAAGGTGATCTGCAGTGAGTCTGAGTGTTCAGTGGTTCATTATTATGAATTAAAAAAATAAAAAACACCAGTTTAGATCATCCATCCAGCTTGTCAGGGTACAGGGTCACAGTGAATCTATTCCAGGAAGTGCAGGGCACAAGGCAGGGGACTCTGGATGGAATGGTGGTCCGTTGTAGGGCACAAACACTCAGACACACTCATCATACATCCAACACCAAATTAGAGACTGCAGCTACCCGGATTGAATGTTTCTGAGCTTGAAAACAAGGGGAGGACATTTAAACGCCATACATGCAGAGCCAGGGGTTAGGAATCGAACCCACGACCCCGGAGCCGTGATGCTGCTGCGCTAGCACAGAGTCGTCATGGAAACAGTCAAATGCTCAGGAATGAGAGACACTGGAATGTAGGGTTTGTCCCCTGGGACCAGTGACACGAAATCAGGGACACGCTGAACAGGCGGCTTTGCCAGGTGTGCCGGCTGGCACTCACAGGGGTAGCCTTTGCAGAGCACCTCGATGGGCGTCGACATCTTCTTCTCGCTGATTCGCTCGTACTTCTGCCTCTTGGTGGCGGCCTTGAGGCCCTGCCAGGGCAGTGAGCCCAGGTTGAAGTACATGAGCACGTAGCCCAGGGACTCCAGGTCGTCACGGCGGGACTGCTCTGCGCGGAGGCAAGGCAAGATCGGGGTCAACGGAGAGGACCGACATGTGACCGCTGTGAGCCAATCAGCCGCTTGGGACTACATAACGATCAGACACGACATGGGAGCGCTAAAGAATGCTTCCCGTGGGACTTGAGTCCACCATTTCCCGCGCTCCCTTACCGATGCCCAGGTGCGTGTTGATGGAGGCGTAGCGCGCCGTGCCCGTCAGGTTCTTATTCTCGCGGTAGGGGATGTGCTGGTGGGTGCGAGCGTCGCGGTACTTCTTGGCCAGGCCAAAGTCGATGATGTAGACAAGGTTGCCCTTCTTCCCCAGGCCCATGAGGAAGTTGTCGGGCTTCACGTCCCGGTGGATGAAGTTCTTGGAGTGGATGTACTCGATACGGCTGATCTGGGGTAGGCGAGAAAATAAAGGGGGGGGGGCTACAAACTGGTGGGAAATGTGGGCCACTGGTGGCTTTGTGCTTAAAATGGCCTTTCAGATGCAAATCTGTTGGGGGTGGGGGGGTACTAAAGAATAAAAACTTCCAGATTGCTCAATGGATGCTGAAAGCCACCCAGTGTGAACCAGCCAAAGTGAGAAACCCTGCATCTGCAAGGTGAGCACAGCACCGGGATCAATACACAAACACTGCAACAGCAGCTTCAGAGCTACTGTGTGAGGCCACCAGAGGGACTTTTTGGCCCAAACGTGACCAAAGGGGGGAGGGGCCGGAGGGCACAAAGCGGTCAGCAGAGGGGGACGGGGGGGGGCCGCAGAGTCAACACACCATCTGGTCTGCTAGGAGCAATACGGTCTTCAGGCTGAACTTGCGGGAGCAGAAGTTGAACAGGTCCTCCAGGCTGGGTCCAAGGAGCTCCATGACCATCACATTGTAGTCCCCCTCGGCGCCACACCATTTGATGGAGGGGATTCCCACTGTAGGCATGGGATGCAGACAGGTATGCCGGGGGGGGGGGGGGGGCGGGGTAGCAACAGGGAGCTATTAGCCGGACCGATATTCATGTCAAACACACAGTCACAGGCAAAATATGGCGCTTCAATGCACAACACCACCTGAGATATAGACCAAGACCACCCCCCCACCCCACATTAGTTCCTGATCCCTCAGTCCTCTTCCTCACCTCCACCCTGCATCATCTTGTAGAACTTGCTCTCGATGTGCAGCTGCGGGTGTTTGGTCTTGACGCACTCCAGCTTGATGGCCACCTCCTCGCCCGTCGCGATGTTGGTACCTGCCATGTGCAGAATGGCCGCGGTCAGCGGCGCAGCACGGAGTTCTGCAACGGGGTCCTCGCAACTATAAGCACCCCCCCCCCCCCATGGACAAAGGGATGTCTGGCAAGTGAGTTTGGATGGTGCCATCTGCTGAGCAACAGAACAAGATGGCGCAGGTTGAAACCATGGCGGTGGTGGCGGGGGGGGGGGGTGTTTACAACCTGGACGCAGCACTCACACACGACTCTGCAAAGTTCTAATGGCCTGACTCTGACCCGACCCATAATGGAACAGAAAAGCCCCAGAAAAGACAAGCAGGGGGCTGTACAAGGAGCACCAACAATGATGGGGGGGCTGTGACAACAGAACAGAGGGTGTTTCTCTGCTGTGGAAGATTAACGGCGAACAGTCCTACCCAGATAGATGTCTCCGAAGGAGCCGCTTCCGATCTTCCTGCCGAGCCGGTATTTATTCCCAACTCTGAGATCCATGGTGTGGGTCTGAACAGCACCCTGGAGTGGGGGGGGGGGGGGGGCGGGACACAGAGCCACAAACCCACAAGGTAAGGGAAGGGCAAACAGTCGATCGATGGCGGGTATACATTACAGGGACGACCCCATCCCAACCTCCCACTGCGACTCAGCTCTCTGCCCCAAAACGGGAAAAAAATTATAGAGAGGGAAAAAAAAAAAAAAACTGATGACAGGAAAGCAATGAGGGTAATGGAGGAAAAGGGAAAAACACAGGAAGTAATCAAATCTGAAATGGCAGAGGGTACAAATTTCGGTTCAGTTGGACAACCAACAGTTGTTAAAAGGTCTGTAAACTGCTCCCGTAAGCTTGTCCACCCCAGTTATACAGGAATGCCGCCACAATGCCACCATACCCGTAGATCTTATTACAATTTTATGAGCTGTAATTTCAGACGGAAAGGCAGATTTACCCCCAAAAACGTTTAACTTTAAAAGGTAAGTAGCACCAATGTAAATAAGTCAATGAACTAAGTTGAACAAAACTGAATAAAGCTTTGCTGCCTAGTGCCATTAAGCACAAGTCCCTTTATAATTTGCAACGATTAGCTGCTAATCTGCAAAGTCAGGGCATCCTCTCCTCTGCATGTTGACATGAAAAAGGGATCCCCAGTCACCACAGTGAGTCATTAATGTCTACTCTGTGATGGCTGCTCTCAGCAAAGCGCTCAGAAAAATATCTACTTGACCATACAGTCCAGATCTGTCCTTAAGGCTGCCCAGAAAATCCACCCATTATGTTCTGGAGGCGACCGCAAAGTAATAGCGGATTCGGCCATTTGTAAATGGATTAAACTGCATTCGTTTTCTGGAAAAATTGACTGAAAGTTAAACACCAACAAAGACATTACTGTTGTGTGTGTGTGTGTGTGTGTGTGTATATATATATATATATATATATTTAGTCATTGTGTCAAGGTTTCGGCTTTCAAATACTTTTACGTTTGATTGTCACAAGTTTTAATGCACTGTGTAATATCCATTAGTTCTGTAAACCCACTATTGCAGAAGTACTTAGACGGTTAATGTCTGAAGTTCCTCTATTTTGTGTAGCCCCACTCCTCGCAAAATAAGTGGCCTACTTGAAAGAAATATGCCGCTAGCACACAAGCAAAGGAAGCCCAAATGATCTCGATGCTCTGTTGTAACATGACAAATGAAGCATTGTGTGGGAGCAGGGTCAATGATATGGATGTATCTATTTTGTTATCTGAGCAAATACATTAAATAAGTACTGGATAACTCCTGATTCTTTATTGACACAAAACGTAACTGCTAAAGTGCTTAGTTGCTATGTTTCAGGTTAATCAGATTTCAGTAGCAGTGAACCAAGACTTACCAACGGAACACAACCGCTGAGTAGACAGTGAATATACGTGCAGACCAAACAGTGGGAGCTAAGGCGCGCATGCACAGAAACCCACAGACATATGGCGTAATAACACTAGTCACTGCCACACCGATCTGGACATGGGACTATTGAGGCAAATATACATGGCAATCAACGATTTTCCTGTAGAAATCGAAGGCACTAAGCGAGCGACTTATCGATTCGTTCACAGTCTAGTCAATCTGCTAGCCTTGCTAGCTAGCTTTGGCCTAAATATTAAATAACTTTGGCTATGTGCACACAAAAAACGAGAGCCTCGCAATACTACTACACCGCACTCGCGGCCACGGAGGCTCCATTATGACGTCACGCCGTTCTAGATGGTCTCCAGATCGTCTCGAGATCAAAAAACGAACTGTAATATCCCTAATCTTCTTAGACTGTTCAGGAAAGGCTACACACAAGAACACAGCTTTGGGGCCCCCTCAATATCCACCCAGCTGTCCAGCAGCAGCACATTGGCCCCTACTTCATTCTACCTCCCCGCGGCTGAGGACCGTCGCTGTTATAACTGAGGGGCATCGCACATACTGCACGAAATTAACGTGCGATTAAAAACAATAAACACAAGCTGGTCAGTGTAATTCCCAAGCCAACAGCGTGTGAAATTTGCATTTCTTAACAATTATCTGCAATGAATTCGGTAAACTTGCGAGCAAGCTGGCTTTGGTAAACACCATCCTAACATACGAAGCTAGGATTTTATTGGACAGCTAGCTTCTGTTATAAACGGATATTCTGCAATAAATGTAACACTTCAACTACTACGAAAACAGTTGAATCCACTGGGCAATCTTAAAGACATTCACTGCGTACACCAGGACAAAAGGGTAGTTAGCTAGCTAGCGGTGTACATCTCAATAGTAAGCTACACTGGTTGTAGTTTGTAGGTCTTATAATTGGCTCTGCAGATGCATTCACCATTTTAAACTATTTCAAGAGCACTGGTCTTAAAAGTCGGTGACTGTTATTCGAATTAACTTCAACTGCCGATTTTTTTTCACGTTTATTAGCGAAGCCGCACCCTCGTACTGGGCACCCCGTTAACCCCAATGTCGGCACCCCCACCCTCCGATGTTCTCCATTCTAGTTCTGTTTGCACTTAAAAACCAGACGAAACCCCTTTCATTCCCCCCTTTTTCCGCCCCCCTCTCAATAACTACGCACCAGAAATTGGGGTTTTTCTTAGAGTTGGATTCTCGGCGGTGCTGGACCGGTGGTTGTCAGACAGACTGGGCCGTAAGCAGCGAAGGATGGGATCGGATTCTAGCGGCTCTCATGCCCCAGTTTTCTTCCTTTCGCTCTACTCAGTGTTTATAGTCTCCAGAGCCGCTTCCGTGTGAACGTACATCTGCCGAAGCAGTATCTCCCTCTTGTTACTCTCGGAGGAGCATTGACAACATCAATGATGTCATTAGGACAACCGAAAGGGCCCGGATTGCCTTAAAGCCACAGGCGGCAGAAAAGCCAGTCTCGGTGTATCGCGTTGGTATGCGCTCTAGCAGATCGAGTAGGGACATGAAGGCGAAGAGCAAAGCGTTCAGGGAAACATACAATCAGCACAGGCATATATTACTACGGAGCCCCGGGAGGGTCATGCAGAAGAAAAAAAACAGTGGTTGAAGAAGTGGACTTCTGCGAGGCCTCGCAATACTGTTCCGTTACTGGAAAACCTTGGGGTGCACTGCACGTTCGATAGCCCTGCTGCCTTGTCACTGGGGGTGAATGGACATAGTGCAGTTATTAATAAATATGTATAAAAACACATAATTTGAAAGCTAAATAGTATGTATTGCGCCCCCCCATTGTTTAATGCTTGAAGCATACTTTATAGGGCATGTCTGTATCATTTAGGTTTATACTTGTCAGTCTATAAAAAAGTTCTGTCTTTTGAACTTTAAACGGACACAGTACCTTTGTTAATGGTAACGGAAAGGTATTGCGACATCTTCAAAAATCTATCACAACTTTGCAAGATCTCGCAAAAGCCCATATGTTGTTTTTTTTTTCCCAACCACCGATTTTTCTCCGTCCTATTCCCTCTCGGGGCTCCGTAATACACCGCAGGCACGCAAAGGTGTGTCTTGAAAATGTATCATCATGAAGCAGGCGCATAGAACACGTACTACGACGAATGGCATGGATCCATGTATAATCTGGTCAAGTGAGACTGAAAAACAAGTGACATCGTTATGATGAGTGAAAACAAGCGGTTTATTTAAGATTTTTAAAGGGGAGGTTGGGGTCTGCCCTGCACTCCCATGCCGTCCCCCCAAAATGTCCCTTTTGTTTACATTACATTGTACATATATATTTATACACAGCATTGACAAAAAATGTCACTCTGATTAAAAAAAATCTTAAACCTCACACGCTGAGAAACTCCAGTAGTAACCTTTGTATGTTTCTTGTGTATATTTATGCAATTGTAAACTAATCCCTGACAAGCAAACACACATATATATATATATATTTAAAAAAGACAAAAAATTAAAAAGTTGAAAATGTTAATGTCATTACCAAAAACTGAACATCAGTAGATGGGTTTCCAGCTACAAACTCTAGAAATCTAGAGCAGGGCAACCACACCTAGTCAAGAAGCCCAATCTGCTCAGGCTGAGCTCCTCTCGGCAGTTAGCTCTTCTCCAGATAACTGCACTGAGAAGTGAACTGAACCCTCCTCCCAAACTGAACACTGATGAATGCAGCCCCTAACACAGTTCTCGAGGGCCACAGCAGACTCCTGAATGTACAATATTTCAAAGTGACTGAGCGCACTGTGCACTTCACAGATCCAGTTGGAAGCGAGAGAACAAGAGATCAGGATTTAGACTGAACGGGTACCCAAGGCCCCATCATAAGAAGAACCAATGACCCAGAGCCCTGACTGTGAGGTACAATGCTTCATCTGCAAGGACGATGACTTTAGCATGGAAATCTCTGTCGGGTGGAGTGATATGGGGTCCTTGCCATTCGTGAACAGCAGTCTGTGCACATGCTGCGTCCAAAGTTCGTACCTCAAACCGATCAACCCCATACGAAAAGGACTCCTGCGCAAATGAACGATTTTTACGAAGATTTCAACACATGGCAACGTGAAAACTAAGACAAATCACTGGTTAGACAGACTGGCAAAAGAAAATCAAGGAGTCTGTGAAAATGGCAGAGGTGTGTTTGTGTGCAAGTGAGTGTATATATAAAGAAAGAAAACAGTGTGACCAACAGATCTGTCATGAAAGCAGGGAGGTGTCTCTCACCACAAAGTGTTTCAAGTGTAAACACAAATCCTTTTTTCGTCTAATGCAACATAACCAGAGCCTTTAATTCAACCTTTATTAATTTGTTCCTTTTTAAAAATTCTCTTTTTGTAGAATATGAAAACAAAAACTGAACAGGAGTGTTAAAGCCTGCCATAATTTAAAAGGATCTTCATCAACAACAAAACTAACACACAGTTGTAACTTAAGGTATTTGCGTACCCCCCCCCCCAACTTGGTCTGACAGATTTGGCATCCGACCGCGTGCAATGCTGTCAATCACTTCTTTAAGAGTCACTTTGTATTATTGCAGATCAAATGGTACAAATCAAAAGGATGCTAAAAAAAAAATAACGTATCAAGACGAGTTAGTGCCAGGGTACACTGGCGGAGCAGGTAATGCACTCGGACCACTTCTGCCCACAGCCCTCGTGAAATACCCTGTCTCTCATTTTCACATATTCTTCCAGTCTGGACAAACTCCAATCTTGTTTCCTCATTACAATCCTCTCAGTCTCATGAAAACAGACGGTGCCTTGAAAGGGTAAATAAAACCGAAACAATCATAGTCATAATAATAATGAACTTGACTTAGTAAGAAAATAACAACGATAATAATAAAGCCAGAGGTCAGTTTTGAAGAGGAACAAGACATTTCTGGATTCCACTGCTCCAAATAAACTGAACATAAAACATACGTTAAGATACAGTTAGTTTGTGGAACATGAGCCTGCCCTGTGCAAGGAGATGTGCGATCCCTTCTACGGGAGTGACAGCAACACGAATGCTGCAGGTCGTCCAGAACTCACGGAGAACACCCATGTGATGCACATTGTGTTTTTTACAGCGGTTGAACGCAGATACTTCCTTGCATCTGTTTCTGCTTGCGTGTATTCCTGCATTTCAGTTCCACTCCAGATTTAAGTGTTATCCAGTCGAGTCTGAGTCCAACTGACTCTGTCGGTTCAAGTCTGGATGTTGAAGTCTTCATTTAGGGCAAAGGTTAAGTGTGTGTGTGTGTGTGTCTGCACCGTTGATATAGGTTCATGAGATGAGATGTTTTGGCATGAGGGCTTGTGTGCTGCCTTGTAAGTACCTGCACAGGCCAGTGCTGTTGTGTGTGTGTGTGTTTGTGAGAGAGAGACAGACAGAGACAGAGAAACAGCATCATATGGAGTCAGCTCCCCCTCCCAGAAGGTCTCCAGGCAGCAATGCAGCTGGACTGCCCATCTGGTGTCTGTCTTCCACTGGGGGTGCCCCCCAGAGGCTACTGCTGGGATAGCCTGGGGCCATGCCACCCCATAGCCCTTGCCTTCCAGGCTCCACGCCCCCTACGCTGCTACCCCCCATCCCTCCTGCTCCCCCAGACCCGTTGCTGCTCCACTGGGCAAAGAGGCCCAGGCTGGTTCCTTGGGACTGGGAGGGATCCGGAGAGCTGCCTGTACCGTCCAATCCTTGCCATCCAGAACAGGGAGGCCCTACGGTCCCCACACTACCCCCTCCATTGCTGCTTGCTTCAGTCGATCCTGCTCCTGCTGCTGCCACCGCCGCTGCCCTTTCCCGCTCTCTCTCGCTTCCTGGAGTGCTCCCGCCTCCGCTGCTGCCCCCCACGGCACCTGTCCCTGATGGCCCATGGCCTCCTCCAGCACCTGTGACATTCACGGCAGCCCCGCCTCCGCCGCTGGCCCCGCCCCCACCCACTTGGGAATGTGCAAAATACCGACCGACCTCCTCCTCATTCACAAACTCAGCCAGGATGGTGGTGTTGCCCAGGACACACCTGCAGAAAACAGCGGGAGTTTCCATTAATAGCTGGAACACAATCGAAATATGTTAAAACTGTTACACTTGGTTTCAGAGTCGTAAAACACTGAGAGAGACGGAGCTATGAGAGCAGATCATTGACAGAAAATGGACGCTGGCCAACGGGGCTCACATGTGCAATGCACTCTGGGCCTTGGCTGCTTCCTGCCGCGAACTGTAGCGAATCAGAGCGCTGCCCTGTGTCAGGCCAAGGTGAAAGGTCAGCAGGGGGCCGTGCTGCATGCAAATGGTGCGCAGAGTGGAGCCGTCGATCTATGGATAAGAATTTGATGAAAAAAGGTCAGATATCACACAGGGTTAATTCACAAAAAACCCTGAAATTAAAGAAAAGAAAAATCACCTATTGATGTCCAATTTGTGCCCTTGTATAGACACACCAATTGCACCTCTAGTAAAAGACAGCAAATAATTTCTGGATGCTGCTCTGCAGGCTACTAATTAACTGTTAAAAACCAAAACACGCATAAGAATGGGCTTCGCTGAACATGAGATTTGCAAAAATTCACCCTGCGAGTTAGTTAGAATACCTGAAGGTTTTTGATTCATGGGCAAAACTAAAATACATTTAGTGGTAAAATACAGGTAACCTTTGACTTAGGCCTGCATTTAACCAACATCTGCTACCCTGAGAACAATTTCGATGAAACAGTTTGATACTGAATATTGATTTAGTTTTTGGTGGCACTGGAACTTAAGATTAAAATCAGCCGATTCTCGATGGCGCTACAATAAACCAAAAAACCTGGGAACTGAGTGAATGTCCTTGATTAAAGGGGCAATTACATCAACCCCATTCGCTAGCAACCCCTTACCTGTGGAGTAAGGTTGCTAAGCAACAGCCAACAGCTGCTTCTGGATGTCCCAGCATCGCTCCATGCGGAGCCTAAGGGAGGGAAAACACACACATACGTCAGCCCTTCAGATCTCAGCGGGAATGGCTTCGGACCAGAAACAGCTCTATGGCTCCACTGAATGCTTCCCTGATATGAATCAATACAACTCAACTGAAAGAATATGATCAGGGAGGTGCTCGTAATGGTACCTGGCCCATATCGAGTGTCCTGGCTGCCACCAGACCCTCCCCAACCCCTGGCCAATCGGGGAGCGCCCCCGGCCCACGGTGACACAGAGGGCTGCTTCTGATGGGTCAGACCAGGGGGAGGGCGGGGCATCTGAGAGCTGTTGCCTTTGGCCTTCCACAGCTTGTTGTGTCCAATCGGGTCAGGAGGCCAGCTGGGTTTGTATTCAGTGTACTTTGCTGAGGAAAGAGGAAGTCAATTAGAAGTCCCTGGAGAAAAAGTCAAAGCCTGTCAAAACAGTAGCTTTTCTCCCCTGTTTTTCCAACGTTCGTGTAGCCCTTCCACTTCCCTACCATCCATGAAAAACAACACATGGAACAAATAAGAGATGACTGAAACTGAACAGATAGAAAGTCAGACAGGGCTGTGAGAGTCAGTTCAGCTTTCTGCGAGACTAACCCTGTTTAGGTGCGTGACCCTTAAATGTGCCATCAAGCTTTTCTAACATTTGAAACCGCATTCTACTGACCGTACAAAACTAACCGAAAAATATTCACGTCGCGCCAAGAAAACAAGTAAACGCTGCCACGGAAGCCTGGTCACTGGCCGTTACGGTTCAAATGGGCTATCTGCCGTTATTCCTTGATACCTACTAAAGCACTTTCAGTAAAGCATCCAACATGGAAATCTCATAGGACAATGAACGCAATACCCAAGATGATAAACATCTAAATTAACCACAGCCATCTTTTGCGGGCATTTACGGTTAAAAGCTACTCGGAAAGGGACAACACTGTTCAGTGAGCTTACAACTCCGTTTTATAATCGTCTGGAGAATTAAATCACTATCGGCCGCTTAATTATAATTCATCCTAAAATTAAAAGAAAGCAGACTCAGATAGTATAACTACAGCAGTGTTGCTATATTGATTTCTCCAAAGACCAAGCGATAACTACTAATTAATGAACTAATGAACTCAGTGCCACATGGAGCCATGGGGAAGATATTATTAGCCAATACTGTAACTATGCTTATGCTGACATGTGACAGATTATTCCGGTCCCCTCATGTCAGTTTATCACTTCATCTTACGAAAACAAATAGATAATCTCATGCCTGCGGTGCTTATAAAGATGCTTCCCCAGGTCCATAATGGTGCAATAGGAGGAAAATGTCGTCTAACATAACAAGAGCCAGGAAATATAACAGCAACAAGAAGAGAGACAACTTGAAAGCTATTTACAGTAAAGCTCTTTAGTGGCTGAGAGTCTCCCTGCAAGAACTAGACACTACAGGCTCTCATGTGCTGTGCTGAGGACAGCTTATCACTAATCCTACCCTTAATGTTTTTATTCATTGTACAAATACTCACATTCATTAAAAAGATGACACACTCATATTTTGCCAGACAAAGCAGCAGAACACTTTCATGTTAGTAAGCAAAACATATAACCTTAGTTTTTTTTCCATACTTATTATGTATCCTTGGAGGATATTCACTTAATATTTTCCCTACAATGAAATTAAGTTATATTAAATCCAATTTGCAGAGAGCACTTGAAAAGTGTTAAACTTAGCAAAGGCCAATTAGCAGTTAATGGGGACATGAATGCCCTCCATCACAATCACGATTAGAGGTAGTGATGCCAAATGAAGCTTCATGAACCACTTGCTGTATTTATTGACCCCACTAGATGGCGCTATCTGTTCAAAGGGCTCAAAGTAGAGCTGAGTGATATATCGACATTATATCAGGCAAGCGCAAAAATCACCTGGGCTTCAGATGACGGGCAAAACATTTTGCTGGACTACAGCTTCTCAGTACTATACGGATATTTTTTTTACACCCACTACTACAAAAGCAGATTAATAGTGCACCTAAAATATTAACAAGGCATTTTATGACGCCCAAAAGTGAGTGATCAGTATTCATTTCACAGATCCTTACGATTAACAAATGTGTCTCACTTTAAACTGGAAAAAGTACTGCCACTCCACCAACGTCTTTTTACCTCGTTTAAAAGATGTCGTGGCTGCTGAGCTGTTCCTTTCTTCACCGCCACTTCAGTGCATATCGCACTAAAGTATACCAAACCATACTATACCAAAACAGTATTATATGGTGCTAACTGAATTTAATAAACATAAATATATGCCAAGTTTGTACAGATTACTAACCTTTGGGTGTCACAAAATGCACCTCATTAATATTATAGCCTAATTAGAGGTTAGAGGAGTCGCTCCTCCCTACCAGCACGGAAAACAACATTCATTTTTGTTCATAAAGACAAAACCCCCACACAGTCATACCTGAATTATGTGCATTGTTGAGGGGGCTGTCTGAGGCACTGTAGGGCCAGGCACCATGTGAAGGCAGCAAGGTGTTCAGGGAGGGGTTGGATTCTGAAATACAAATTTGAGGGGGTGGCAGAAGTTAGCCTGAAATGAGGTGACAAATACTCGTGTCAGTACCCACACTGTCTCGTGGTGACAGGTGCTCGTGTCAGTACCCACACTGTCTCGTGGTGACAGGTGCTCGTGTCAGTACCCACACTGTCTCGTGGTGACAGGTGCTCGTGTCAGTACCCACAATGCCGGTTGGTGATAGGTGCTCGTGTCAGTACCTGCATTGTCTCTCAGTAACTGGTGCTCATTGTCATTGAGGCTCGAGGTGCCTGTGGAGCCCAGCACACTGCTTGGGGTCATATTGGGGTCAGATTCAGGGTCAACGCTCTGAATGCCCTTCCAGGGAACTCCGGGCTGGAACTCTGTCATGGAAATGGCGGGAATATTCAGGAATATTCACTTTAGTGCAAACGTAGTGAAACGAAGTTTGTCAAAACCCAGTTTATATAATGGAATATGAATAAATCCAGTAAATAAAGACATTACTCCATCTTCTCAGATTTCCATTGGCTACAGTTTTGGCATAAAAAGCTGGAATTGAATTTACTCTAGCAATACCTCCAGATGATTCTCATGTTTTGGGGCAATGTGCATACTCTGTTCTGTTCAGACAGACTGTGAAGAGCGTCAGAATCTGTGCGACTCAGACTAAGCATGGACTGGCACTGAGCTGAGGTTGGGTTCCCCACTGGGTTCCCGACAGCAAGCGCGCGGTTTAACACAAGTGCCGCAGTTTACCAGGTGGCCAGCTGGAGGCACCGGCCTTGACGCCCATCTTCCCCGGTGTTCGATGCCAGTTATCGGACGGGCCTGGCGGGGGCACTCCAAGACCGTCGTTTCCTAGCAACTCGTACTGGGAGTAGGGAGAGCCGCCCCTTAGCTTCATTGGTGTGGACATGGGACCTGGAAGAGAGAAATAACACAGGGGGGGATGTTGAGAGGGAAAAACGACTGAGGATGACACTTGATTAGTATCAGTGTGCTCCTATGGGCTGATAGGAGCCACTGATGGGGATTATTATCATCCCCCCCATGTTAATTACCGATCAAACACTCCTCTATTGTTTGAATGAATGAATGAATTTTATTCTGGTTCTTTTACGGTTACTTCAAAATCATAATAAATTTCCACATATTACAAATCCAACCTCATACGAATAAAATCCAATAATAACAGAGAACCAGAAAGGTTTAGGCTGAAGCCTAAGTTTATTTTTGCCTACCCCGTATTTTCGACCCAAATTTATCCTTCTTCATAAACCCCAGTTCAAAGAATAATAGTCAAATTATGAAACATGGACAAATTGCTCTTGAATTACTTCACCTCTCAAATGAAATTTGTGTATTGCAAGACGTGCACCGTCAAGATGCGCAAACTGAAGCTCACCGTTCTTGTGTGGTGCAGTGTCGGGGGGGGGTGGATTGGGGGAGTGCCCCTCCATCAGCCATTTGAACCGGGACTGTTGACCCCCGCCGTCCTTCATTCCGCCGGGGCCCCCCAACATCGAGCCCATCTCCAGACCGGATAGGTTCACTCCAGAGCTGAACCCTGTGGGGGGTGATATGAAAAACGGGAGAGAGGTTTGCTTCTCCACAGTGCCGTCCCATGGAAATATCCCAGAAGCCTGGCTGACGTTTTTGTGTATCGCCTCTGCTGGTATTTTTCTAGACCTGGCTGGATGGCCGCCTGCTTTTTTGGGAACCAGAGAGCAGAGATCACATTTCACCATCTTATTTCACAGGTGAGACTGTAGGGGGCCCCCAGTGGCACAGGGCCCCCCTGTCTGTCAGCAGAGAGCCAGTTTTGCACGCTCTTTTAGTGGCTTCTTTTCTAATGGACTGCCATGCTTCTGCTGTCCAAAGATGCTTGCTGTTTACTGTGTGCTTCCAGGACATTGAGACAGCACCCTTTTACGCTTCTCAATCACGTCATGGCTGCCTACTGAGGGACAGGAAGTCAGTGGCATGTGTTGAGGACTGCAATCTGACTACTCAGCCATTGCACGTGGGGTGATCATAGAACACAAGTGCACAATCACAGGCTGGAAAGGGGTTAGGGTCCGAGACTCACCAGGGTATGCTCCTTGTGTCTTCTGATGCAGCTGCTCAGCCAAAGATCCCCCGAGGCCAGGGTGGGGCAAGGGGTCAGCCATCGTCTGCTTTGGCACGCCCCCCCCCATATGTGACGGGGACAGTTTGGGGCCCCCGCCAGGACCCCCGACCTGCTGCTGCTGCTTCTGTTGCTGAAGGACGGCCATGATTCTGGCCAGCTGAGGACGGAGAGCAGAGTACAGTTTGAGCACCACCAGTAGGGATGGCGGAAAAGGCCTAAAAAGTCAAATTACAACACAGTCAGACTATCTGCTGACACAGAACACAGAAATATATCGATTTGCGTCTGGCAAACTGCCCTGAGTAGAGCCTGTGTTGTTTTTTTTCTTCTTCTTAAGTTGCCTCAAATTCACTCTCCTATGACTCAGGAGTCTGGATACAGCGACAGCAGCAGGAATCACTGGAAAATCACCTCTAGCTCTGCATTAGCCAAGAGCACGAGAGCAGCAATGCTCAGAACCCGGAGGCGGCGAATGAGACGCGCACGCGGACGTGTTCAAGTTTCAGCAGGTTTCGATTTGGTGAGAGATCTCTGCGGGCAGAGCCTTCTTAAACAGCAAAACTAATAGGGGGTGTTAAGAAAATCTATAGCGCACACACTATATTTGAAATTAGCAATGAAAGTGCCATGTAACAATGATCCGATTTGTAAAATACGACTGGTACTAAAAGCAAAGGAGTGCCATAAATTAAGAAGCCGTGAAATATGAAACATATCCCTGATGCAAGCATTAATAAACGTGCATTTAAAAAGAAATTAAGTGTATACAATGTTGACATACTACAAATGTAAAACACACAAGGAACAATCAAATTTTCCTACTTGCAGTTAGTTTAGTGCTAAACAAAAATAAATGCAGTTATTTGTTTTTAAATTAAACATAATTTAAGCTATGAAAAGCATTAGCTTCAGCGTCTCCTGGCACCCAATTGGCACGACTGCCCCAGATCCGCCTCCTCGCCACGCCCTGGTACCTGCTGTGGGTCCGACTGCTGCCGCAGATTCTGGGAGAACCTCCTCTGGTTCTGCAGGAGCTGCGGTGGCGGCGGCTGCTGCTGCTGCTGCTGCTGCAATAGGAGCTGACAGGCCTGACGGAGAGAAAGACGGGTGGATACATATGCGTGCGTGCAGTGCGTGCAGTGCGCGCAGTGCGTGCAGCCTTAAGCCGAGAGCAGAGGATGAGATGCGGCAGTGGGACCTGCAAACAGGAGCAGAGGGGCACTGACACTCACCAGCTGGAACTGAATGTGGGGGGGGTAGATGCTGCTGAGCATGGCCAGGTGCTGGGGAGAGAGCTGGGCAGGGAACACCCCCGCTCCCACTCCTCCGACGCCGCTGCTGGGGGGGGGCATCGGCTTCAGCACAGAGCCTGACACCTACAACGCGAAGGGACACACGTGTCACGGCCGGCACGCTCCAGCGCCCCCCACAGGGCCTGTGACATAGGACATGCAGGAGAGCGGCGGCTGTGCTCCGGTGCTGCCCTTTGAGAACCCCCCCAGGCAGGGCCCCGCTGCTCCATACCGGGTCCGAATGACTCAGCTCAGCTGGGGACTCACTGCATACAGGTGCATGTTTATGGATAACAACCCGTGTATGAAATGGCCCCAGTGATCGGGAGCAATCAGGTCAAAGTTTATGTCCGATTATCTAATAGCATATTTTTTTAAGCAACCTGTCCTAAGGATGAAGCAGAGCAGCAGCATATCAGGGTCCACAAGGAGATTTCAAATCGTGACCTTAAAGTCACTGGTGCAGTTCATCGACCGAGACCGACCGACCGACCGACCGAGACAGACAGAGAAATAGATTCGCAATAGCACCACAGCACACACATTTACACAAGGAAAAGGAAAGTGCAAGAACAGCCATTTATCAGCCAGTTTCCAACTGATGCTTCACACCGGCTGTGTGACCATCAGATTCTGACACTTTACAGTGGGAATCGCAACTCTGAGAAAATGCTACCGCAAGAACAAGAAGTGGACAGACCCTTAGCTCCAGTAGAGAGCAAACTAATCAAAAGAATAACTGATCGAACTGTTTTAACAGTAACGGATCTGCAAAAGTACCCCCTAAACAAGGGAGGGAACAGGTTAAGAGTTGAACAACATATACAGTCAAGAAACTGCATAAACCAGGCTAATAGAGGAGATAGCGCAGACGTACCTGAGGCGACAGGAACTGATGAGGCACTTGCGCTCGTATGCCTGGGGATGGATTTATGGGCGGCACACCAGGCTGGTGCACCCCCCGAGACGGAGCCATGCCACCGCTGCTACCAAACGCTCCGTGTCCACCCGCCTGGTAGGGGGAGGACAGAGAAAGGAGGGGCTTTTATACAGGCCACAACACTGTACAATGAAGAGGAGAAGGAAGGAAATTAAACCTTTACTTAGGGGCAGCAGGAATGGAAAACAGGAACAGAAAAGGGCTTTTAAGTCTTCACGTTGGGCTCTGACTGGTATGGCCAACAGGGGACCAGTAAGGACAAGCAGGGAATGAGCGAGGGGGGTGGAGGAAGATGGAATAAATGGGTAACAGGTAGCCTGTCAGTGTAACTGCAGTCAGACTGTTGCTTTACTTTACCTTGTCATAATATGGCCCAGGCTCAGCAGAGCAGGCCTCTTTGGATCCGGGCCGGAAGACAGGCCCCGTTCCCCCTCCGCCCCTCCCGACTTTGCGCATCTCTCCATTGTAGTCGGTTGGGGATATTCCCCGCTTCTCCCCATCCAATTTCTTGTCCTGGGGAGGTCCCGGGGCTAGGTCTAGTGCCCTTCCGCCGGGGTCCTCACCCTAGAGGGGGAAAGAGTCTTCGTCAGTTCCGTCATCATTCTCTGGATCGATGCAGCACGTGTGTTCAGGGCACCTACCAGGAGCCCGATGTTGGAGAACTGCCGGCTCATGGGGCCGATCCAAGAGTCTCCCCCTCCGCCTCCGCCCTTCAGCGCACCCTGTGGAGCAGCCAGATGCCTGAGTGCGCATGCACACGCTCCTTTTGCGCATGCAAAGCTGCACAAATGCAATTTTATATCCCATCAGGTTCTGAGAAAAGCCCCTTGGTCGCAGGGCGAGGAGCCACACCCTCCCCGACGAGCCACGCCAGCCTACTTGCAGTTTCCCTTGCACCCCCAATGGGAATTTCCGCCCACTACCCTTACCGTGAACCACCGCCCCCAGCTGCGGGTCACATGATCACATGGTCACATGACCATAGGAGCCACTGCCAGGGAGGAAAGTAAGCGCCATGGCCGAGCATTCAGCATTGCTACAGGCTCCTTCTGCTACGTCATGCCCGCTCCCCTCTCCCGCACCGGGGGTGTGGGCCACCGCAAGCCAAACCGCTCTCCAAATTTAGAGGAAAAACAACCATGACCAGGACACATTACCAGTGGTGCCGAACTGTGCCCGTATCACGGAACACGCCCCCTCAGCACCTGTAAGGCGACACCTGCCCTCTGCGTCAAACCGCCTACCTGCTTCCACTCCCCCACCCCCACCCACTCCCCCACCCCCAGTGTCTCCCCCTCTGCACTGATATTTAAAATATGCCCGCAGGCTGGTGTTGCTTTTCCTGTTTAAGGGGGCGCTGTGGGAAAGCGGCAAACCAGATGCCATTTAATGCTCAAGGATAAATGACAAGTGAAACCAAAAAAGAAACATATTACATAATATAAATATATACAGAGAACAGACACAGGAACACCATACAGAAAGCAGAAGGGGAGCAGCCCAGCAGGGAACTTTTGGAATCTTTTCCATAAAAGTGGCCTGGCTAAGCCGGCCTGGGCTGAAGGGGGGTGGGGGCACATCAGACGACGCCCCGCTGCCCCAGGTTACACTGCGGGTCCAGATGACCATGACACTGCAACAACCAATCAGAGCGCAGCTTGGGGAAATGTGAGTGGCCGGCCGAAAACCAAAATTAAGAGCGGAACGAATGGCACGTTGGCAGCCAGAGCACCATCCAGCCCTCCCCCGGCCCCCATGCACGTATTGACGTAGAACAGATGGTGCTGTTTGTGGCAAGAGAACGACTGATAAGATCAAAGGCTTCCCTTCTGCGCGCAGCACAAAAACTGCACATCTTCTTTCTTTAATGGCGGCAGGCCTGAAAAACCTTCAACAGACTTTAAAGCGAGACGTGGCACAAACATCAAATGTAACGAACAAAACACCAAACATGGCGAGCAAACAAAAACAGACGTACGCCAAACGCGGCGGACGAGGCCGCCGCCATGAACTGGGAAGCAAAAATATCCTCACACTTCACACATTGAGTCGTGTAAGCAGCAGGAGTATCTGGCGAAAGCCGGGCTGGCCTTTGCAGGACCAGGGAGGCCTAACAGGCATCTACAAGGACGCCTCAAAGAACACCCAAGGCCCAGGATCCTACCGTCGTGGGTGAGTCTGCCCACCCCTGGCATTTTTGTCAGCAACGCGACGTTTGTGCGTGACACGTCGTGGAGGCCATGGGTCAGTCTGCATCTCAGCAGATGATAATTTTCCAAACATACCCACACATGTTACACTTAGGGTCCCAACTTAGGAGTCCATTGTAATCATCAGTGACATGACTGCAGACCATCCTGCGTCTCGCTGTGCACCCAAGGCTCAGACTAATGACTGAAGATTAGAGGAAAAGCATTTAGCTAAACAAGCTCATCTTGTTCTGAACTCGGCCAGGAAATGGCCAATCCCATTCTGGAGGAATTTAACAAGAATGTGAATCCCCATCGAGGAGGTGGCTTGAGAAGGAACTGACTTGAGATCAGTGGCCACACTGACACACACACGGAGGCGTCTGGCAGGAGACACATTCAGTGATTCTCGGTTTCTGTAGATGTCAGATCACGGCGGCCGCAGTCAGCCCCCGCCACGCTTCACCGGTACCTTGCTGTTGGCCTTCTTGCCCCCGGCTGTGTGGCCCTGACTCCAGCCCCCGGAGTTGTAGGAGGAGCTGCTGCACTGAGAGCCGGTGCTGCTCCACACGCCCCCGCCGCTCTCCTCGTCCTCCTCCCAGCTGGAGTGGCGGGAGGCGCTGACGGAGCCGTCTGCCTCGCCCCAGCCGTCTTGCATAGACTTCGGACCTATGGGTGGGGGGGGCAGCGGGAAGGGAGCATCAGCAACACTGTGGCCACCGGGTGGACCTGGGAAGCCATGAGTACAGGGGGGAGGGATTCACACAACACCACTGGGGGGGAAGCAGACCTACCGGTGCTGGGGGAGGGGTGTCCCCAACCAGCAGGCTTGGCAGGATCTTCTAGGTCTCCCCAGCTGGTGGGGGCATCCGTAGGCTTGCCCCAGGCTGCTGTGCCATTGTCTACGCATGAGCTGGAGGGGGCGCCGCTGTTGCCCCAGGCTGCAATTGCCGACAAGCACCACCTTAACGAGAATTCTGACCGCAGCCTTTACAAAGCTATAATAAATGATTCCTGAACATTTCTAGCCAATTATAAAATTTGAACGAGCTCATCTTCCGACACACAACACACGACTGTTAGAAAATGTAACTTTTTAAAGCACAGGTGACGTCAAACGCTATCCGGCGAAGCAGCACTTCAGGGGCCTTCCTTGCTGGTCTTCGAAAACCACACTTTATCAGAAGGTGGTTCTTAAATTCCTGAGATGAGACTCTATTATTTTACTGTGTGGCTGGCGAGGATAATCCAATTGCCCTTTTCCACTGTCAGCTCCAATTTCACCGCATCCCAAGATCCCTCACGGAGGCTAAGGGGAGAGAGCAGGAGCATCGCTGGAAGCCCACTAAGCCCACTAACCCAAAAGGGGGCTCCTGCTTCGTTTCGCCACCACAAGTAAACATCTGATCTTTTCCCCACATAATTACATCCGACCCAATTCAGCAACGTGTGGTTGCAGGTTTCGGGCAACTTAATGTGTTGCAACATGTCACGTTAATTTATGGGGCCAGGGCCATATATTATTACAGTAAAATCCCGTTATAGTGAACGTGCTTATAACGGACAAGGTCTGCTGGTCCCGGCTGGTCTTTACGAACATGCAGAAAAAGCATCGGATATAGCGGACTCGCATATAATGGAATTTCGGACAAATTTTGGTCCCCAGGGCCGCTTTTAGCAATACTTTTGTTCGGCTATAACAGACATGCAGCTCCGCCTACAAGGTGCGTGGCGTGCCGGTGATATCCAGGGCAGATGCGTAGTCGGGATTAATAATCACGCATCTGGTCCGGTAAAGTTGGATTATTACATGTACAATATAATAATCTATACCACAAGTGTGTCTGCTGAGGTGTGGCATGAGTAAATGGTGTCCTGTAGTTGTGTTCTGGGCATACAGCAACTCTGGACATAACGGACTGTTTTGCCAGGTTGCTTGAAGTCCGTTATAACGGGATTTTACTGTATAACACATTACAACACACATTACAAAAAGAAATATATACAAAAACACACAATCCATATTCGTATGCCAATATAAAGGGCTACTTTACTAATGCCAGTGGCCAGTAATTTACACAGTGCCGGGGCATTAATTTACGCAGTGCCGGGGCATTAATTTACGCAGTGCCGGGGCATTAATTTACGCAGTGCCGGGGCATTAATTTAAGTCACACAAAGACACACATGACCCATATTCCTCACCCATCCCAGAATTCTTCCCAGGTCCGGAGCTGGACTCCCTGTTCCCTGGAGCTGCAGGCTGCTGCGTGGGTCTCCCGGGGCCCTGCTGCTGCTGCTGCTGCTGCTGGCTGTGGTGGGAGGCCTGCTGCCCCTGGCCAGAGGGGGCGCCGTTCTTATCCCACAGGTTGACACTCTTGTGGTTGTAGTGGCTGGGGTCGCCCCACACTGAGGTACCGTCATCTATCTCCATCTTGCGGTTGATGGACTGCGGCGACGGTTCCTCCCAGCCGCTGGGCTCGGGGCCCTCGGGGCGGCTGCTGGGCAGCTGGGGCACCGGGCCCGAGGTCCAGCCTGAGCTTTGGTTCTGGTTCTGGTTCTGATTCGGGTTCTGGGACGGAGGGCCTCCTGGCCTGCCCCAGCCGCCAGCTGTGTCCTGCTGCGTTGGCTGTGATTGCTGCTGCTGTGCCGTGCCCTTCGGGGCTCCTGCCTGGCCGCCTGGCGCCGGCAGAGAGTGGCCTTTCCCCCCCCAGCCCTGCTGGGCTTTTCCGTCCCCGTCTCCACCCCCACCTTCCCAGCCCCCCCAAGTCCCTAGGTTGGCATCCCCGCTTCCACTGGCCCCGTTCCCCTTCCCCTCCCCCCAACCCCCTGATTTGGGCTCCCGCTTCTCCCACTCACTGCTGCCATCTCTCTGCCCCCAGCCTGACCCCTCCCTGCCCTTGTCCTTCCATCCTCCCCCCTTCTCATCCCCACCTACTCCCCATCCATTCCCACCTCCGCCACCAACCGTACCCTGTTGCCCAAAATCTCCCCATCCATTTCCTCCACCTCCTCTACGCTCTCTCCACTCCTGCCCCTCGCTACCCCACCCCTTGCCTAAGTTTTCTGGTTGCCCAATCCCACCCCAGCCCCCGGCTGCCTTCCCCTGGCTCCCCGATGCATTTCCCGGGCCCCCAGAGCCGGGCTGCGTGCTGGCAGTCGGATTGCGTAACCCGGGGCCAGAGGGCAGGGAGCCGCGGCCTGGTTGGGCAGTGTTACTGCCGCCGTCCCAGGCATCTCCGGGCAGAGGGGCAGCACTCGGCCCCTGGGAACTCGGAACGCCGCCCGTGAGATGGGAAGCAGCGGATGGGTCAGTGGGGGCGGACTCTGCAGCAGGGGGGTATACAGGGGCCAGGCCAGCAGGATTCAGGTTCGAGGACGGCGGGGTGGAGGAACTGAAGCCGGCGGACGCAGCCGCGCCTCCAACCAAATCCCAGGCCACGTTCTGCCGGATCTGCGTCTGGCCCCATCCGGTGTTGGACAGCACCCTGGGGTCCAGGTCAGTCCGGCTGAGCAGGTTCTGTAAGGCCACTTCGGGGTTGGCAGCCGGGTGGGGGCGGGGTTGGCCATGTTGATTGTGAGGGCCACCCCCAGCTCGGGAGTGCCCACCACCGCTCGAGGACGAAGCCCCGCCCCCATTGCCCTTGCCCTGGCCCCCCCACTCGCCGACATCGCCCCCTGCATCATCCCCGGCCCCTTTCTGATTGTCCCAAGCTCGTGTTGCAGGTGCGGTACCTACGCCACTGCTGCCTCCTGCGACCTGATTGCTAGGCCCGCTCGTGCTAGCCGCCCCCGCAGTACTGCCCCACTCCCCCACCGAAAGCTCTGCCCCATCCGCCCCACCCCACGCTCCCTGAGATACCCCGGCGGTCTTACTGGTGCCCCCGCTGCCTGCTCCCCAGGCTTTACCCGCCAAAGCTCCGATGCCCTCTTTGCCCTCCTGGCTGGCGTAAGTCAAAGACCCGCCCCCTTCACCAGAGAACACGCCCCCTCCCGGCCCACCCTCCCAGTCTTCGAGGCAAGTCTTCGAGGCGCCCGTCTTAGGATTGGAGGAGAAAGAGAGAGCTCTGCACGAGGAGGACGAGGACGACAAAGAGGTAGCGAGCTCCCCCCCATCCAGCGGGCCGCACTCGCCTTCATCCAGTCCAGCTTTTTTTGGTCCCATGCCCCCCCACTCCCCGCAGAGGGGCTCGGCATCCCGGACTTGGTGAGGTTGATGCTGATGCCCGACCGGGTTCAGGGAGGGAGCCAGGTGGCCCGAGGAAGGGTCAGCAGACTGAGACGACGGTGACAAGTTTGGTAGAGCAGATGGCCCACCCTCGGCCCCCGAGGAGCAAACCCCGGCTGCCCCATCCTGCACGAGGGCCGGCCAGGCCGAAGGGTTGGCATTGGGGGTGAAGTTGGCACCAGGGGTCCCACTGCCCGTAGCCATACAACCGTCAGCAGTCCCAGGGAGGGCAGAGCCTTTGGACCGGGAGCTCATGCCCCCCCCAGCACTGGCCTGGGACGAGCCGCCCCAAACAACGCCACTTAGTTGTGTACATTCCCTCGCGGGGCAGGATGGCAACAGGGGGGATGGAGGTCCGCCCTTCCCCGCACCCCCCGCATGTTGCTGCATGTGTCTATCGCCCCAGGGGGCACCGCCGGTCTCCCCCCCGGCCGCGCTCGCCCCCAAAATACTCGGCCACTCCTCCATGTCGGACCTGTCCACTATCACCTTCTCCCAGCCCTGAGAGAGGGGCTGGCTGCCTGAGCTCGCCCCCCACGTGGAATTTGCATAATTTGAAGAAGAAATAGTAGAAGAAGCAGCGACTGATGGCGATGACGAGGAGGAAGAAGAGGAGGAAGAGTGGGGTAGTGAGGAAGCTGAGCCCGCCGATCCAGGACCGCAATCTAAAGCAAGAACAAACGACGCAGTTAATTATGATCTGGCCAGGAACGTCTTAGCCAGGATATTTCTGACATCTTGTTATTTTCAAACGGGCACTTTTCAGGGCAACAACAAAGTCTGGCTCACTGCTGTGAGGAAACAAGAAGCTGACAGCAGCACGCAGTCCGTATTCAGATAATAGGCAATAGTGCCACAATATAAATGATGCAAAGGGGGCACCAATTCCTTCATCGTCCTCCCAAATCGATTAACAGATATTGGAAAATGTAAGGGGGAAAAAATGTCTCCCTCTCTCATGACTGACCTGAGGCAGCAGCTACCGTCGCACTGGTGCCGTCCCCTGGCGAGGAAGCGGGGGCGCCCCCCCCCAGCAGCATGCAGGACAGCGGCGGCTGGCCCCTCTTCAGTAGCACTTTGTGGTCCTGCTGGCAGCGGAAACGGGGGGGCACTTCACGGGGCATGTAGCGCTGTGGGGCCTGGGTTCCGCCGGTGGGGGGCTGCCCGTTGGACGCCGCCGGCCGCTTGGCATTGTTCCCACCCTGGGAGGGGGCGCCGGCCGCGGCCCCGGCGGGCAAGGGGGAGGCCGAGGGAGCGGGGCCAGGGCTGGGGGACGCGGAGCTGGGGGCGGCCGAAGACTGAGCGAGTGTGGGCTTGGTCGAGTCTGGCACTGCGGGAAGAGAGGCGCGGCAGGGGGCATGTGAGGGGGACTCCGACCAGCGGCAAAAACGGAAGGAAAATGCGATGCATTAAACAGGGGCAATTAAATCATATTAAGGATTAGGGCTGGATATCAGCCCTTACTGTACAATTCCACCCGGTTTCCATTTGATTCAATTTCGATTCAGTTTAATTTTGCATCTTTTTAGAACAATTCTTTGAGAATGAATTCAGCTTGCAGATTAATGAATGTCAAACATCAACAAAGGTCAATGTTAAACGATGATTTTTTTTTAATTTAACCAACAAACAAAATAGTGCAATGCAGTTATTACAACATCCATTACCATGTAATGCAATTAACAAGAAAAGGTTGAGTAAAATTCAGCAAAAATATTTTCACACAGGCAAAAGCCATAAATCTGACAATTTTGAGAATCGGTATTGAATCATCAAAGTCAATATCTAGACTAACCATGAAGGCAATATTTTTTCGCATCCCTTTTAGGGATGCAGGAAAGACTTCATAAGCAGACTAGGTATGTGACTAGCAGATACGTAAAGGTCGACTAGGTTCATATCCTGCAACACACCATCCGAACACCAACATTGCAGCAGTCACAGCCTACCAGACGGTGACGAAATATAAGCATGCACAAGAAACGACACCGCGGGGAAGGACAGGGACACAGGGTAAATTAAGCGGCAGGAACTGCATGGCAAGAGAGCTTACCTTTGTTTTTTTGTTCTGCGACCTGAAACGAGATACAGGGTCGTCAGTCATCGTAATCAGGCTTTCATTCGAATACAGTGAGACTCAAGTGCTCAGTGATCAAGGGGAAAAGAGCATGATTATAAAATATGACTGCGTTTTGTAGTCCTTATCACTGTATGATTCTACGAGTGAGTGGTGTTAAATCTCGGCCCTGGGAACACAACAGAGACAAACATTTTCCAGCCACCTGAGAGCTTCGAAACCTTCGTTTGCGCATCTCCCTGGGTAACATGGCCGTTATCGGCTGGAATAAGGACACCGGCAAACACGGCCGGCCTCTAGCACCACAGCTGAGTGTCCCCTGTCCTGACCACAGACACACCTCGATCTGGGTGGCTTTAGAATGAAACCAGAGCTGCCACCCATGGTGTAAGACATATGAAGGTCCGGCCTCGGGTAATGCAAGCTGTCAGCAACTAGGAACGATAAATCCTTCTTAAACGGGGGAACGGTGGAATCTTTCAGGTTGCCCCATTGCCAGTGGGTTGTGGGATCAGTCCCCAGCTTGGACGGCAACAGCAAATGCTAGGCTGTCCCCGTGAGTCACACGAGGCCTATGAGGTCACCTTTCAATCAGAGGCACATTTCACCACAACAAAACACCTCAAGCACCAGATCACCTCCTCCACGAGCGACAACTTTAAACAAGCCGGCAGGTACCAAATGGAAACCTTCTCTCACCGCAGCTGGCAGGTGATAGCTCTCCTCTATGCATCTCTTACATCAAACTGAGTAAAAGCAAACGCGTTTTATCTGGCTGTAAAACAGTCTGGCGCCGGCACCTTCTGGGAAGCGTCCCGTTTCCTTTTATCTTCTTTCTTCCTTTTCTTGTCTTCCATGAACTGCTCTTCCCTTTCCCAATTCTCTTCTCTGAGGCAAAACGAGGGAAGAAGCAGAGGGGTGGGAGGAGAAGAGAAGGGGGTCAGACAGTCCGGGACATCCCAGTATTTCCACGGACGCCAGGGATGCACAAGTCGGCTGGCGACCACGGGGATCTTCTCAACTAGAAAATGAATTATTTACAGCTGAAGTTTCGAGAAAACAATGACGGGTCTTTCTGAAGCACCGGATAGACCCAGCTGGCTCATAGGGCCCAAGCACAGAGCCTAAGCCCTCATCTCTAGGTGCATTTGGGTAGCTGTAAGCTGCTTTACAGTATTAGCAAACATGCCAGCTAGCGGTATATAAATAATTTAATACTCATTTGAAGCTACACACATCAGTTGAAAACCAATGTTTATAAAGGTTAAACTTCCTATTTCCAGAAAAAAACATACAGACACAAAATCACTGATAACTTGGGAAAACTGGACCGGCATGAATGGCTAGTAGGAGCGCGCCATATTTCACTAAGTGTCATTTCTGAACTCAGGCGCCAGCGGAGTATGTGATTATACATGCCGAACACCTCCTTTGGGAAGATTATAAAAAAAATACTGTAAATGCTCGATGCTCTGTGCATCCTCCACACAGCACCTACGTTTATTGTGCTAATGTTTATGTTCAAAGGAAAATCAATATTAATGTGCAGTTACTGCACTGCCATCAAGTCGTGCAAATACACCGCAGAAAAATAAAGCCCATGACAGCAGGTGAGAAGAGGGGACCAGCTTCACATTTACAGTTCATTACATTTAACTCCAGTGCCGATGGTAGTGCTTTTTGAGTTTGCCCGGGCGTTTGTTAGTTTCTTTTACAGTTCCAGAGTCACACGCCAAAAACAAAATGGTCCGAAAGTTACGAGAAACGAAACCAGCGACTCGCCGGCTGGAGGGCAGTCGCCGCCTCCGGCGTCCGCTGCGCCCGTGGGTGTGAGGCTCCGACTCCCGGACATGCTAACGTGTTAATCCAGGATGAGGGCAGGAGGCTCAGCCTTATTAACGGGACGCAATCCCTGGCTGGGCAGGATGGCAGTGCGCTGGCCGCTCGGTGACGGGCTCCCGACTTCATCCCGCCGTGTTTGAACCAGCGTATTTAGCACATTTTATGGTTTTTAAAGGCAGCCCCCTTACTCTCGGTACCGAGGGGAGCTCAGGCGGCCGCAGAGAGGGGTCCCTGATGTTGGGGAGATGCGCAGACGAAGCGGAGGTCCCCGTCCGCACGTACTGCAGACCGGCCCGGCCGAGCCTAGCTGTCAAAGCCGTGCAGCCTCCGCCTCTCGCACATCCGCACGGAGCCGCTCGGCCGGCGGCGCAAAGCGAGGCCCCGGCACGGACTCGGCCGGCTGGCTATGAGGAGGAGGAGGAGGATGCACCATTAATTTAGAATTGCCAGCGGGCGCCCCTGTACATAACCGAGCAGCCCGGGTGAAATAGGCTGCCCGATGTGGGCTAATATAAGCTCGCAAACCATTTCGCCACTTCGATAAAAAACGCAAAATAACAATAATAATTATAAAAATAACATTATTAAAGGTAAAAAGACAGCAAGCGGTAGCAGTAAATTCGCTGGAGGAAGCTGAAGCTTCGCCTCGGAACAGCCGACTTTCGGGCTCGGTTCACGACAGCAGCGGGCTGCCGCGTCCGCGGATTTGCCATTTTGGAAGCGCCTGAGTTCGCAGCGCGCCGCGGCCGAGCGCCGGCGGGGACCCGCTTCCAGACCGCGGGGCGGCTGCTCGGGCGCCGCGGGACCCGGAGCGAAGCGCGCGGCCGAGGTGGCGGCGGGCTGCACGGGATACTCACCTCAGGAATTACACATGAAATAAAGTGCTTGAGTGCGAAATTCTGGCGTTTTGAGGCATTCGAGGCAAAAAAAAACACACGCACACAGAAACAATGTAATATTCCCAAAAGGTGAATAGTAGAGAATGACGAAAAATACCCTTTTAAAAACTCCGAATAGAATGTATGTTTAATGATACTGTAAACCAAATATGCAGAACCTCTTCGTTTTCTAACGAGCTATAAAGTCTGTCAGTTGACGGTCGGCCATTTTGCTGTTCGGTTTGTGTGTGTGTGCGTGTGTGTGTGTGCATGCATGTGTGTGTGTCTGCCTAGCAGAACTCTGACTGGGGGGAGGGAGAGTTTTTTGACCTTCACAACATTAAGAAGTGTGAGGATTTCACTCTGACATCACTGATATAAAACACAACAGAAGGCGAGTATAAACTAAAATGCAAGCTTTATTACCCAAGTAACATCAGTGTTGCCAAAATAAATAATGCAATGCAAATGCTGTACGGCATCAATTTTGGCTCATGCAGTATTTACATTCCCCAAAACTAATAATGGTAACGTGTTTTTACAATATCATATTTAATTTAGATTGTTTTTTCACATGCAAACCCCTTAACCTGGACATGATGGCAGCCTAGGGTATTAGGTATGGAGACTAGCCCAACGTAGAGCAATTAGCCTAACTGGGGTACTCAGTGAGAACCCGCGCGACACGGAAAGAAAGGACAACACACAGGGGGATTCGAACTCATAACCTTGGAGGTGTGTGAAAGTGCTGTCCACTTTCACAGATATTCCCCTATTGATGAGGATACGACCTGCTTATAAATCACCGCTTTGTCATTGATCCAAATACCATAATAATGACAAAACACTTTACCTTTCAGCACATTACCGTACGTCTACTTTACTAATGTCTTATAAAGCATCAAAATAAATCAAACGTTTTGCTCGAGACTACAAACTGATGGGTTTTTGTAATTTACGATTAAATGACGTGTTAAGAACATGTAAAGTATTCCTCCGAGCGCGTCCTGTGCACCCGATTATAATCAGTACAGAAAACGTCACCTGTCATTTCCACCGCAGGTGGCGCTGTGCTAAATTTGCAACCTCTCGCGAGAGCGCTCTATCGGTTTTCTTCTGTCGTAAACTTGTTTATAAACATCCCTACGAGCATCCGTTAATTAGGATAACAACGTGGGAGTGTGAGTGTCCTGGAAAGTGTCTGGGCGAACTCAGAAGACGTTATTGTGTGTTTCAGTAGTTCTCATTGAATTTGTATTCGCGCCATTTCACGTGTATTGATTTTTAAATCTGTGGTTCCAAGTTAAATATGGACCGTTAGCGTGCGCGTGTCAATAAATGTTACGCGTCTACAGGATCTCGATCCGCTCGATCCGCTTACCACAAGAAACCAAGAACCGTAGTTAATTAATTTTTAAAATATATTTAAAGTTATTTAGTCTATTAATAGCACGGATGCAGTGTCACTTTGATTCATACATTAAGATTAAAACATAAATCCAAAAAATATGCTTTAGGGGACAGGCAAAGCATTGGAACAGAGTAAACAAATTAAAGAAGAATACATTCCATATTTTCCATGTTCTTAACACGTCAAAGAAGAAGATTCTGCACGGCATGAGTCCGAAGAAGAGGGGTGAGAGGAAGAGGAAGGCGGGGGAACAGACTGAACAAGTTAAAGAAGAGTCTCTACAGGAGGGTAAGAGTCTGAAGAAGAGGGGCAAGAGGAAGGTGGGGGAACAGACTGAACAAGTTAAAGAAGAGTCTCTACAGGAGGGCATGAGTCTGAAGAAGAGGGGCGAGAGCAAGAGGAAGGCGGGGGAACAGA